ACAGCTCCTTCGACCATATGTGGGGTTGGGGTTCAATTCCCTCCAAAGAACCTTTCTTATCGCCAACCAGACCTGGTCTGGTGGGGTGGGGGGTCGAAGAGGGAGGAAGAGAACACCCAGAGGGAGAGGGAGAGGGCGAGGCAGAGGGCAAGACAGAGACGGGCATTGCATAGTGACAGAGCGGAAACGACTATCTATGTGTGCATATTGCCCGCTGAGCTGGGCTCTCCCCTCCCCCCACCAGAGCCCCCCCCCCACTCAAAATCGCTTCATATTCATGCATTTATTATAACTGTTGTTTATCGCTTAGGGCCACTTCTCGCTGCTAAAAGGGCAGAGGGCCGAGGGCTGTGAGCAGAGGGCAGGGGGGAGTACAGGAAGTATTGGAAAAACTGGCTTTTCACCAAAAAGAGACAAAAAACGATCTAGAAACTTGTTCCACCCACACTTTTAAAGAAAACTTGATCACTTTTTGGGGAGAAAATCAAAAAAAGAAAGAGTATTTTTTTATACCCTTGCAGAGGGTATTATAATTTTGTCCAAAAGTGTGCAACGCAGTGAAGGAGACATCTCCGACCCTATAAAGTATATATATTCTTGATCAGGATCACCTCCTGAGTTGATATGAGCATGTCCGTCTGTCCGTCTGTCCGTCTGTCTGTTTCTACGCAAACTAGTCTCTCAGTTTTAAAGCTATCGTCTTGAAACTTTGCACACACCCTTCTTTCCTTTGCACGCAGTATATAAGTCGGAACGGCCCGGATCGGCCGACTATATCCTATAGCTGCCATATAACTGATTGATCGGAAATGGTATAACTTTGGTGTTTTTAGGGTTAGAGAGTTCAAATTTGACATGAGTGCTATTTTTGGCAAAACATTACGACATGCCAAATTTCATAAGGATCGGCCGACTATATCTTATAGCTGCCATATAACTGAACGATCGGAAATGACCCAACTTTCGTTTTTTTGAAGATAGAAAGCTGAAATTTAATACAGATTCTATTTTTGGTCAGTTGATCCAACGTACCAAATTTCATAAGGATCGGCCGACTATATCCTATAGCTGCCATATAACTGAACGATCGGAAATGACCCAACTTTCGTGTTTTTGAAGATAGAAAGCTGGAACTTGGTACAGATTAAATTTTGATCCATCCTACCAAATTTCATAAGGATCGGCCAACTATATCCGATGTTTGCGATATATATCCGGTTTTAGCTGCAAGGGTATATAAACTTCGGCTCCGCCCGAAGTTAGCTTTCCTTTCTTGTTTTATTTGATTTTCTTCTTCTTATATGGGGGTTCTCTTATATGATTCATTCCCCCCCCTCTTGTCTGAAACCCATTCCAAAAATACAAAGTATAACCATTGTACCATTAAGTTCCAAGTTATGGACATAACTTATCTTTGGAAATACTTTGGAATTTTGTAAAAATTGTTGCAAAAATTCGTAAGAAAAATGTTGTGTAATATTTTCTGAATCATTTCTGATTTTTTAAATATTTTAATCTTCTAAAGAAATGACTAACTAGTGGGTGGTTTTATTTTAAAATAATATATATTTCAATAATCTCTTAAAAGTTCTGAGTTTCGTAATTCTTTAAAATTCTTAAAATATAAACTTTTAAAGAAAAATTGAAGAAAAAAGTGGGTTATTTGTTTTAAGAAAGAAACTAACTAATTTTAACTAATAACTAACTTATAATATAAGTTAACTAATAACTATATTTAACACTAGTTGTGCTAATATTTCTTTACAAAAATTTTGGAAACTTTAAAAATGTTAATTAGAGCACTAAAGGCAGCTACTAGACTAGCTACTAGACTAGCTACTAGTAACTAGCTACTAGATCTACTAGCTATCTACTAGCACTACTAGGTCTTACAGTACTTACTAGCTCTACAGGCACTACTAGCTACCTACTAGCTCTTTTACCTCCACTTCCTCTTCTTAGTGTTAATTTTAATAATATTAGCAACTAGTTTGTAGGAATATATATCCGTATATATAGACCCCTTTAGAGAGCTAACGATATTGAAACCCTAGTGATATATAGTTTCCAATTAGAGCCCCCTTTTGGGGTGTCAGTCTTCACACTTTCCTACAAAGAGATGGTCGGGAGGGGGGAGGGCTTCTCAATTACATGGATGGATGCAAAAAGAGGGGAGTAGGGGAAGGGGGGTGGTGACTCTTCAAGGTTAGTGTGGTTGTAGTTGTGTACTTGCCACTGATGATGATGACTGTTGCTGGCAATTTGCTTTGATTTAATTCAATTTTCACGAAGGCATACTATCATCGAAGGCAGCTGGTAATTTTTGCCATTTTTAGCGCCACCAGGGGTGTGGCTAAAAGGGGGAACTAAATGGGGGAGGGGCAGAAGGTGCCAAAAAGGACGAGCCAGAAGAAAGTTCCATAAATATATAAGAGAGTGTAGGGATTGAAAAAAAAATATATATTTTGATATTATTTCTAAACCTAAAAATTTCATAAAAATTAATAAAGATTTTAAAGCTTAACTATTATTTTTATTAAATTTATTTATAAAATAATTTTTCATATATTATTTAGATCTTTTTCTCACAGTGTTATAAGGAAAGTTAAGTAGAAATGGTGGGGCATTTTCTCAAGTGTCATTCAACTGCGAGGACACGCAAAGTGCTGGGGCACAAACAGCAACAACAACAATAACAACAACAACAAATACTAAGAAACAACAACAACAAGAAACAAACAAACAACAACAACAAGAACTGTAACTAGTTTTAATGATTATTTACATGAAGGAAGTGCAATAAATAATAAATATACAACTCGAGCATCCAAGCTTCGCAACAGTTTCAAGTAGTAGTTGTATATACCTACTATTATATATATATTTATATACTTACATGTATATATATAGAATATGTAACGATATTGTGTCCCGGTGTCGTTTCCAATTCCGATTCTTGACTGAACGCTGATTGACAGCTGGGAATTGGTGCAAATTACTGGACTTGGACGTCTACTTGAATTATTTTTGATTTATAAAGGGGGGTTCTATAGAATACGTACTGTAGGGTACTGTACAGTACGTACTGTAGGGTACTCAGTTTCTATGGGTAGTTAGGAGGAGGTTTTTTATAGAGAAACTACCTAAAATTAAAGAAAAGTATTATTAGAAGGTACTTGTCTTAAAAAAATAGTAGTTTTGTAACGAAATGAGCTTACGGGGCATGGTTTTGAGGCTTCTTTGTAGTAAATATTCATACCCGGTACTCTCAACATCTCAATTAAGGAGGTTTTGAGGAAAATACTGCCTATAATTAAGAAAAAGTATTATTAGACGGTACTTGCTTTATAAACTTGCTTTCTTTTTCAAAATAAAAGCTATAGATATATGATTTTGAGGCTTCTTTTTAGAAAATATTCATACCTGGTACTCCAATCATCATAATTAAAAGAGTTTTTGATCTTAGATGGTACTTGAATCAAAAACTTGTTATATTTTCAAAATAAAATATATATACAGCTGTTTCTAACGATTATAGCTTAGTTTTTATAAAATATGCATACCCGGTACTTCTATAATATCACTTACAAAGCTACTTGATGAAAGAAACATCCAAAAATTAAAGATAGTATTAATATCCAGTACTTTTCTCACAATTATTAGCTCCTTCTCAGTCTTATAGTTCCCAAACCTGTAGACTTTTTAAAAAACTATCCATACCCGATGCTGCACTCACCACTAAACCACCAACCCTTCAAAGAAGCCACCACATTTAAGGCCCAAATGGCCTTCACTGAATGGGAAGCACGGTAGAGTACTGCGTCTGAATCCATGGCACTTTAATTTTTATAGCCACTTTGCTCAGTTACCTCCTCCCAGCTCCACCCCACCCCTCCCCCAATCCTCTACTACCAGACTGAAAGTGAGCCACCATGAGGCTTGATGTCTGAAATCCCAAAACTGGAACTCGGATTCAACTCAACTGGAATGGACGTCTCAAGTGGCTGGCGTTTCGTTGGAGTTCGGGTGGGTCGTGGTTGCTCTTCAGAGTCTTCTGACTCATTTGCCATTCATTAGAACATTGAGAAAGAGGAGGAGAGGGAAGAGGGGGGTGTGGAGTGGGTGCGGAGTCCAGCTCCCCCTCCTCCTCAACCATTCGGGTTAATTCGATGGAGGTATCCAATATCCTGGTTGGGTAATTTGAAACCCAAAATGTAGGGACATTCATTCTTCCTTTTTTTTTTTAATGAAATTAGTGTTGCGTTGACAACCCCTTCCTCTCTTTCCCCCTCCCCCCTCTATTTTCAATTCAAGAAATTAACTTTACAGAAGAGGACACTCCACATCACTTTTGTGAAGCCAACTAACAACAAATTGCTTAAAGCCAGCAAACACATACAACAAAATAGTGGCAACAAGGACACAGCATCGAGTTGCAAGTTATTCAATTAAAAGTTTCCTCAATGTCCAGGACAATAGAGGACGAGGACCAGGACCAGGACCAGGTCTAGGTCCAGGTCTGTCTGCATTTCATTCACAAGTTTCCTCATTTTGTTTGTTGTTAAGCTTTTGCAGTCCAATCTGTCAACAGGACTTTTGTTTATTAACTCAAACAGGAAATAGGAAACTCCAATTCTTTTTTTTTATGGACATCTTTTTGTTGAAGTTCTCATAGGAAAAATTGCAAAAATTAATGTATTTGGTTCTTAGATTGGAATGGAAACTGATAAGGTCTGATTTCCACCTATTTTTTAAGGTATTTGAGGTGAGAATCGGCTGGGAAATTAAGGGGTGCCTCTAGAAAATATTTTATGATACGATTTTAATGCAGAGGATAATGAGGAATCCAATCACAAGTCTTCTGAGGTATTCCTAGCAAGAATCGGCTGCGAAAAGACCAAGTTATAGACATGAATAGACCTCTCCTATAAAAAAACCTTTGGGGTTCCTTTGGGAAATTGTTAAAAAAAAATAAATAGTCCTATTAGGTTATATTCCAAAAGTTTTTATTAAAACAAAAAGGAACTTACAAGCATCTTACAAATGGTACCCTGGCAGAAACTCCTCGGGCCTTATTGTAATTGCAACTGGTGCCGGAACGTCTTCCTTACATTTGTGTCTCAATTTCACAACCTCGATGTTCATCAGGGCAGTGTCGAAAGCTTCCTTTGAAGAGCATTTATCCAAATGCCCAATGACACACCAGCCGAAAGTACGAAATGATAAACATTTCTGGTCATTTTCGGCTAAGCCCCAAAACCCTTCCAAAAGGGGCACCTGTAAGTAGTCATTGATGCAATTTCCAATTTCACGAATTTGGGTGGCAAAACATTCGGGTCCTTCCCCCTTAACAAATTTGGGAAGGCAAGGGCTATTTTCGTGACAAAAATATCCTTTAATTGAGTACCCTAGACTGTACATCATAGAGAGAAGACTCTTTTCGTAGGAGTTGTAGAAGGGTTTGGCGGTTTCGTAAAGATTCACGCAGTAGCCAAGGGTCGAGTTAAATTTTTGGCAGGCGGATCCCTGCTCCATACTTGAGTTAGTCATGATCCCCGCCACACTTGTCATACAGTTAATCATCCGCTGAATAGCCGGTGGATTGTTTCCTAAATAATGGGATAATATTTATACGTATATCTGGGGAATTATGTATTAAAATATATATATTTTACCTGCATTAACTTCAAGGATCAGGAGTCCAAAGGTAGCCATGAGGCACAAGGACATCATCGTGTACTTGTCCATGGTGGTTCTGGTATTTCGGTTCTGGTTCTGGTGACTGCTAGCTGGCGAATGCTAGCTGGCGACTGTGAAGCGACTTAAGTAGCTGGGCTTTGTGGATCGTAATCTCAGTCAGACTTAGGAGGGTATATATGTAGGTCAGCGATGGCCAAATTTCGATGGGTTGATTTCCTCTGGTGTCGCCAAGAGATAACCTCTTCCACGCGTATACTTTTTGAGGTCAGAGATAGTTCCATTTACAAATACAATATACCTTTGGCAACTGAAGCTTGGTTTTTATAGCTGGAAATCTCTACACGTGGTGACAATATTCTCCTTATCAATGTTCTCCTTATCGCTTAATTAGGTATTAGGCGATCTATTGCCAAAGTATAATTAATGTAATATTCTTTCTATTTTTCTTATAGAGCCTTGGCATCTTGGCCTCGATTCCCGCCGGTCTGCTGATCGTTTCTCTGCTGGGATTGCTTCTCTACCTCCTGACCCGTTGCTGTGACCGCCGCCAGCGGAAGCCCAGTGCCCAGAGATGCCAGAGTTGTTCATTGGTCATCATCACCCTGATGACATGTGCGGCCATTGGATTAGGTAAGAGATTTCAGGACTTTTTAAAATATAAGTTGATCCTGTTAAGCCCCACGTTGGGCGCCAAGTGATCAGACATATTAAATTTAATAAGGATCAGCCGACTATATCCTATAGCTGTCATCAGAAATGGTATTTGGTATCTGGTAAAAATAAAAAATAAATTTTTTATTCTAATTAATTGGATTTCTTCCGATGTTCGATGTTCGAGGGTATATCAACTTTCGGCTCCGCCCAAAGTTAGCTTTCCTTTATTTTTTGGATTTAAACGCACAGCCTAATCAGTTTCTAGAAACTATTTCCACCCGGGAACAAGCATGCCGCGATCTGATATCAGTTCCTTGCCCCCAAAAGGTCTAATTCGATTTTTTTTTTGTTGTTTTTATGGCTAGCGTTGGCTTGTATGGAGCTGGTATGGTTTGGTATGGAGCTGCCAAGTCACGTACTCTATCCAAATCCTGCTGCATCGCGTGCTTTGTGGTCGGTTGGCAATTAGCCAGAACACTAACTGGACTCCAATGCAGCCAAAAGCCCACAATTTAAACTTAAAACCAGAAACCAAATAAAACCAGAAGCCAAATGCGTCATCGTTTTGGCGGCGACGATGAAATAATAATTTAATTAGTCAACTCGGGGCGTACTACGCGCTTAATTGAATCAGAAATGGGAGGAAAATGTGTGTCGCGAGTCGTGACTCTTGTGTTACATCACTGACCTGCCCTCCACTAATATCTTACATAATTTTATTGATCCAAAACTGATCTCACTAACTCTTTGATCTTTATTCTTCATTATAGGCTTGTATGGCAATGATGATTTCCACAATGGCTTACTGCAGGCCTTTGGTTCTGGCAAGAAGGTGGAGGGCCTGGTGCTAACCCTCAAGAAACAGGTAAGTTCTTAGTTTTAAACTCGATCCTTATATCTATATCCCTATATCCTTGTACTGATGCTTTTTAAAAGGATTTCTTAATTTAGAGGACCATTTCCTTGAGAGTTGGTGGGGGGGACATGTAGTCTGAAGTGGAATCTGTTACATGGCTTGGTTATACCAACTGCCAGCTCTCCTACTTCCGCACTTTCCTTATTTCCTATTCCCCCAGCTCCTTGTACTCCCCCTCCTACTCCCCTACTCCCCATTCCATTCAAATCCCCCGGCCAAACTAGAAAATCTTGCCTAGTTCTTGGCTTTCATAAACTTCTGGCGTTACCGTTACCGTAACAGATTCAGAGTCAGAGTCACCCGCTCACCCACTCTCTTACTCCCTGGCTCCTTTTCTCTTTTTACAGCCTCCTTCTTGTTCATTATAATCAACCTAAAAGCTGGCTGCTGCTCCTGTGTTGACAGTTACGTGGCCACGAGGGGGTCCTAAGCGGAGTGTATGTAGGTGCAAGGAGCACAGGAATATAAGGACAAGGGGAAGTGTCCTCGCAGCCAAAGCTTTGCTATTCATAAACTTTGTCAGACAGAGAGACAGGAGAGGAGAGGAGAGGAAGGACAGAAACAGAGACACACAAGACAGTGGGGTGGGCCTAGGGAGCACGAGAGAGAGTGGGCTGGAGTGAGAGAGGCAAACGAGCCGATAAGGAGATAGGAGAAGGGAAGAGCACTTGTACACCTAAAGGAAAATGTTAGTGGTGGTACTACTTATAGATATTAATATTAAAAAAAAAATATTTATTTATAATAATTTTAAATATATTTTATTTATTTTTTTGTATATTTACATTATTTTAAAAAAAATATTTAAAAAATAAATGAAGACTAACATTTCTCTTTGGGTATAAGGCTGTTGGAGCATCAAAGGTAGACCAGGGTAGACGAATAACGGGACTTTAGGACAAGAGCGAGCCAAGAGGGCCAAACAGAGATGCCTGGCCTGGCATTGCTCCGACAGAGGAGATCCTTGACTAAAACGCTATTAATTATCTCCAGGCACAAAGAGGGCGGCCAAAGGGCTGGGGCGTGGTTAGTGATGTGTGTGTGTGGATCCACCTGACCCCCCAACCCCCCAAAAACCCTATGCGGATGGAAAACTATTTTTCATTTTTTTTCCCCCTGAGGGGCTTTTGTTTCCAAAAAGAGGGGGTGGTATTATAAAATCCTTCCTCTTCTTTGAACTATTAAGCTTTTAATATTTTAAAAATAAGGATTTAATTTTAAAAACAAAATATTAAATAATATCCTTTATATTTTTTAGACGGAGAGCATCAAACATGATCTGGAGACCCGCATGGCCGGCCACAGGGTGGAGCAACTGGTGGAGAAGCCACAATACAATCAGACCGTGGTGATGCTCCTCATCGAGACCTCTCGCCTGGTGACGGAGAACACCTCCCGGGCGGTGGCCTCCCTGGACAGCATGGTGCACTACTTCATGAAGGCCAAGGGCCAGGAGAACGACACTTCCCTCATGGGATTACTTCAGGTGAGCTTAATGGTTATCCATCTTAAGATTATAACTAATCTTCTTCTAATCCCTTAACTAGTTGGGTGAATTTTATGAATCGATACGTTGGCCCGCCACCTTGGCCTTCCTCACCATACTCCTGCTGCTGTGCACCGTCCTGGTGATCGGTGTGGCTAGGCGGTCACGTTGCACTCTGATCTTCTTCAGCGTTTCGGGTCTGTTCTGCATCATCATCTGTTGGCTGTTGGCGGGCATCTATCTGGCCTTCAGTGTGGCTGCCGGTGACTTTTGTATGCGTCCCCATGACTACATGTGCCGTCAAGTGGGAATGGTGGGTTAATCTTTAAGATTTTTTAAGATTTTATTTATAATACTTATATGGTTTTTATAGCGGAGCCCGTACGTGGATTTCCTGAATTGTGGAACGCCACGAAATCGTTTCATTTTGCGGTTGAACGAATCCCGGGACTTGGTGGATCGGGCCCGGGAGAGTGTGGAGCTCATGCAGCGGTGAGTCATTGAATACCAACTCCTATTCTTTTCTTACTTATCAGTTTTCTTTATGGAACAGCATGGTCCAGGAGACCTATCCACCGATTGACATTAAACGCACCCTGACCGCCATGGACCATGACCTGGAGGAGACGCATCGTAATCTGACCACCTTATCGGCCACATTGGATCGTCGGGCCATAGATCGGCATTACGAGGAGGCGCTGCGTGGTCTGTGCGGCGGTGGGCTACTGGGACTCAGCCTGATGATGGTGGCAGGACTGCTGACCTCTTTCCTGCTAACCATACTGGTCTATGCCGATTCCCATGCCTGGATCTACTTGACAAAGAGGTAAGGGCATTGGAGTAGCACCAACAAAGACTTACTAATGTTATAATGATTACTTTGTAGACCCCCCCTTGGATGCGGATAAATCGGAGACGGCGCCACTGTTTCCTGCCTCGAATGCGCCCAGTGCCAGTATCTCGCCCACAGCTCCCATGGGCACTGGAACGATAAACCGAACACTGTTGCACCACCAACAGGCAGCCTCGGGCGGTACTGGTGCTCTTAGCGGCGGTGGTTCCGGCATGGGCGGTGCAGGAGGGGGCGGCGGCGGCGGCGGTGGAGGAGGCATCATCGGCGGCGGAGGACCTAATGGACATAATGGCGTGACGCCGTACCGTAATGGAACGGCCGGCCTGAGACAAGGGTTGGTGGCATCACCTTCATCACAATCCAGCCACAATTCATCTCAAAACAACCACCACCACCACAACCACCAAAATCAACAGCATGGCACCTTAGCCGGCTATCAACAACAACCACAACAACAACCACTACTACAACAACAACAACAACAACAACAACACCTGTACAGCAACAACCACCACAGCAACAACCATTACTACAGCAACAACACACAGCATAGAACTAACTCAGCGGGGCAGGCGGGGGCGATGACGCTAATGGGCGGGGCCAGCGGTCGAAGGTCACCGTCGCCGCCGCCCTGCTATGATTTGGTGCATGGCACAAGGCATGAACTTTAATTTCATATGATTTCTTTAAAAAAAAAAAAAAAAAAATCCTACCTACCTCTTACCCCTTAAAAAAATGAGAAAGTTAAAAAAAAAAATACCTTTGACCCCTGACCTCCTTCCTTAGACCATATATCCTTTTCTTTCATTTTTTTTTTTCAAAATCGCTAATCAAGAAAAAACTTTAAAAATTTACTTTTTTATAAATAGTATTATTTTTCTTAAATTTTTTATAATTTCTTATGTTGTATTTTTAGTTTTTTAATTTAAAAACTTAAAAACCTTCATTTGATTAGCGATTTTTTTCCATTAAAATGCCAAGAGCCTTTTTTTTAAGTTTTAGCTGAGACTGTTAGAATTTTTAAAATATTTTATTTTATTTTAATATTTCTTAATTTTTTTTCTTTAAAGTTTATGTATTTTTTTTGGTATTTTTTTGGTATTTTGTTGTTTTTGTAATGCACTTGCATGAGAACACCGACAGTAGACACCCACAAACATACACAGACACACTACAGTGAACACACAACTATAAAGACAACCAGCACGGACCCACCCACACATACCACGACATTAAAAAAAAACAAAATTAAGAAACCCCACAAGTGGCTTACTAACCAATAAAATAATTAAAATTTTAATAGAAAAGAATAGGATTCTTAAGATTTCGAAAGATGCAGGCTATAATCTTGGTTCTTTATTTTTTGTTTTTAAAGTAAAATTTTAAGAAAAGGACTTTCAGGACTTGGGATCTTCAAGTCTTATTTTCAAGGTTTTTAATTTTATTTATGTATGAAATGTGAAATATATTATCATAATAATAATAAACTAAGATGCTTGAAGCAAGAACCTTATAGGTTACAACTTTTTTATTTTGTTTTAAGTTTTAAGTCTTAAAAAATGATTATTAGCTAAAATAATTAAAATTTAAAAGGGGAGTCATTTTTATGTTTATTTCTTTCGGTTTGTTAGGGAAAAATAGGGAATCGAGAGGGTCTAGGTCTTCGTTTTATGATAAATGGATATAATATCTTATCTACCTTTTAATATTTGTATTTATACTTTATAATACCTTTATACTTGTATTTCTTTAGATTATCTTTAATATTTCTTTTGAAAGGAGTTAGTAGAAGTTAAAAGTCAAAGAGAATATTTATACTAAGTTTTATAAATATTTTTAAAGAGTATAACAACCTCTTCTCTTTATAAATAGGTTCGAAAGTTAGGATAATATCTTTTATAGAATATAAAGACCTACATTTATGTTTATAATGAGGCTTTTTAAGGCATTCTTGGTTCTAATTTCAAAGAAACTTTCATACAAGACCATTCTTACCATAAAATACAGATATATCTATTTTTTGAAAATGTTCTTGTAGGTGTATCCTTTCCAAAAAGGTTCCTAATATAGGACTTCCTTTTCTATAAAATATAGAGGTCTATGTTTATGTTTCTTATAAAGTTCTTGTAGGTTTTCTTGTGCTAATTAAATATAGATCGACCATATAACCCCATTCTTTCTAAAAAAAATATACAGTTCTTAATATAGCTTCCATATAACACCATTCTTTCTATAAAATATAGAGGTCTACAATTATTTTTTTAAGAGGTTCTTGAAGGTTTATTATTTTCCAAAAAGGTTCTATCTTAGAGACCATTGTTCCTATAACATATAGGAGTCTATTATTATAGATATAGGAATCTAGGAGTCTTTATCTATTTTTAAAGAGGTTCTTGTAGGTTCTTAGCTCTTATTTTCTTTCTAAAATAGCCTTCCCCAATAAGATCCATCTTTTCTATAAAAAAATAACCACCAGGCTTACTAATCTACCTTCCAACTATTTTCACCCCAAAAAAATAGAAATAGAAACCTTTAATAATTCTTAAATATATCTTCTAGGTCTGGTCACCATACTCTGGGTCGACTGCCGTCGCATCATCAACAGTCCGCGTCATACCTGCCAGGACCGAACAATGGAAAGTACGCGACGCTCAGCAAGCAGTGTAAGACGCTCGAATCGAACGACTTCTACTGAGATTCGCTTGCCTGCAGCACCCATGCAGGCAGTAGCAGCAACACAGTCCAGCAGCAGCAACAGCAGCAGCAGCAACAGCAACAGCAACTGCAACAGCAGCAGCAGCAACATCAATCAATCAGCCAGATCAATCAGCATCAGAGTTCTCTGAAGAACATATTCGCCTCGGCCACCCTGCCCCGTTCCACTGGCAGCTCCATACGCTCGGTACTCTCCGCCCAGACCTCGAATGCTGGGATATGTCGCTCCACTGGGAATGGTCTGGACGGTGACTTTGGCGACGATCGAGATCCTCGGGATGTCACCAACAACAGCTTCAATCGCTTCGATCCCAAGTACATTAGCATTGGTCCGAAGGCGGTCCGGGGTCAGAATAATAATCTAAACATCATATCGGCCGCTGCGACGGCCAATAAGTGTGCCACCTTGAGGCATGTCGGGCGGTATGGTGGCTCCCTCAAGGGCGTGTCGGCGGTGAGTGCCACATCGGCGGTGGCCAATGTTCCGGCCGTTCATTCCCCAAATCTGCGAAGTGCCAAGACTCCGTCGATAGCTACCGTTTCTAAGGATTACTGCCAGCAGCCGGACTGCATACCGCAGGAGTATTTGTTGCAGCAACAACAACAACAACAGCAGCAGCAGCAGCAACAGCAACAGTTGCAACAGCAGCTGCAACAACAACAGCAGCAATTGCAGCAACAACAGTTGCAACAACAGCAGCAACAGCAGCAACAACAAATGGTGGTGCCACCAGCACCGCCACAACCTGCACCACCGCCACCGCCCAAACCAAAGATAGTGAATACTTTTACGGAAATACCCGGCACCACGGGCGTGGGCAGCTCCTATGCCAAGGAGCAGCAGCAGCAGCAACAGTTACTGGCATTGCAGCAGCAACAACAACAGCAACTAATTGCCTTCCAACAGCAGAGGGAACGAGAGCAACAACAACAGCAACAACAACAGCAACAGCAGCAGAGAGAGTTGCATCCACCGACCACCCACATATTGCCACCATCGGCTGTCTATAGCATTGAGAGCAGTGAGTTGCCGACAGCAGCACCGAGGTTGCAACAACGCTCCCTGAATCCCGCCTCCATTGTGAACCAGCCACTGCCCGAAATACCCACTTCCCAGTCAAAGATCTCGGCCCAGCCGCTCTGTGCCGCTAACTTGGGGCAATATCGTTCCCTGCAACGGCCCCAGACCCAGAAGTTGCAACCAGTGGCGGTACAATCGCCGCAACAACAGCCGCCCACGTTGCCACCAAAGAATAGACACAAAAAGGCCATCGATACCAGCAATGCCAATCATATGCAGACTCTGCCCCCGAAATCTGCAAGCTTGAGGCAGCAACAACAGCAACAGGAGCGTGAAAGGGAGCGGGAGAGGGAGCGAGAAAGGGAGAGGGAAAGACCCCGTAGAGCAGAGACTCTGGATAATGCCCGAAGCTATATAGAACAGCAGTATCCCAGTCAGTTGATCACCAAGAAGCAACATTCTTACGACAGCAGCTATCACCAGCAACAGCAGCAGCAGCAGCAGCAACAGCAACAACAGCAGGCCTTCTACCAGCGACAACACAACAACAACTTCTCAACAAAGCAACAACAACAACAACAACAGTTGCTGATAGAACAACAACAACAGGCCATGTTCTATAGATCCCTGAAACGTGGAGAACAGAGAGCTGCTGCTGCTGCGGCAGCTGCCACCAGTGTGGCGATTAGCAACCATAGCGATCTATATTCTGTGACGGAATTGTAGGAGTGCGCCTGCTGCGGCGGCGGTGTGGATGTGGTGCGTCGCGGCGCCTCATCCACATCGCTGCACGCAGCGGCGGCCACCCAAACCCAAGGACAGCCGGCGCCGGGACAGCAGGCGCCCATACCCCTGCCACCGAAAAAGAATCGCAGGGAGCGAGAACAGCAGCGGGAAAGAGATCGCGAACGGGAAAGGGAAAGAGATCGTGAACGGGAGAGGGATCGGGATCGGGATCGAGATCGTGACAGGGATCGGGAACGGGATCGGGAGCAGATCACCTGCAATGCCAATCTGTGCGAGGAGCACGAGTATGATGAGTACTACCCGCAGGCCTACGAAATGCAGACCACATCCACGGGACTGGGTGGGGGGAAGCACAGCAAGACGGGTCAGAGGGCAGCCACGTTCGATGTGGCCGATGCCCGGGACTATGAGCTGAAGCGTCTGGGGAATCGTCGGTCCCAGCAACAGGCGGCGCCCAGCAAACGTAACGGCGGCAATGGCGTGGTGGTGACTGCCAGCGGAGGAGGAGGCACCGGAACCACCGGAGGAGCAGGAGGAGGAGGAGGTGGTGGTGATCACCATCGCAGTCACGATCGGGAGAGATCTCGCAGCGATCATCGCATCGCTAGCTATGCCTGTGAGGATGTCACCTCCACGGCCCTCTGCAGTGCCGGTTCTATGAGTTCCATGCTGCAACCTGGTGGCAATAATGGAGGTGGAACCACTGGAGGAGGAGGAAGCGGTCATCGCAGTCACTCACACCAAAGGGAACACCATCAGCGAGACTCCCAACAGCAGCAACAACAACAACAGTTGCAACAATTGCAACAGCAACAGCAGCGTGATCGACGCGAAAAGACCTTCAAGGTATGATTTTTAGAGACGTCATAAGAATTGTCCAATCCGCGCCAGGATACCCACCAATCGAATGGTCGAAACGGTAGCTCCAGGCGGCGGACACGTTGAGGGATTCTAAATGGATGCAAACGTGGCGGATTCGATCGAAAAAAAGCAAAAAAACCCCCGAAAAAGGATCCAAAAGCCTGCCTGTATTTTGTGTTTAAGCTTAAGTCGTGTATCTCTATCTCTGTCCAACCGCCAGCCCAGCCTAGCCCAGTCTCTGTATCTGTCACTTATACACTTGCCAAAAAAAAAAACGCACACAAAGTAAAACAAATTTAAATTGTAAAAAAATAACAAAAGAAGTAAAAATCTCCTGATTGATTTTTTATTGCAAAAAAGCTGCAAATGTCTGCTGCAGAAGCGATTTAAAAAAAATATAAAGAGTTCGAAAAAGAGTTCGAAACTCTACCTCATAATTCCCAACCCCATTATTTGGACTATCATAATTTTTTTTTTAATCGCTTCTGTTTTTTTTTTGTTTTCGAGCCAAAATACACACATAACCTACATCAGTTCTCTGCTCTGTGTTGTTGCCTATTGTTATATATATATATATATATTAGTACCGACAATTTAACATTTAACAAATACTTATTTGTGACCACTATTCATAGATTGTATATTTTAATGCCTAAGTTAAGCCAACGATTTAGTTTTAAGCGCCAATTATTTATTTACGAACCGATATTGTAAGCCTCTAACAGCCCCGAATCCAAAAAGAAAATCACAAAAAAAATTCAAAAGTTCAAGTTCGATACTCTGGAGAAAATTATATATTTTTTTTTGTAATAACTAAGGTTGTTTTGGAATTTCTTCCAGTGTATCACTTGGAACTTTTGAATTTTTTTTCGAAGAAGAAAGAGTGTGTGAGTTTTTATTTATTCAGAATTTTTTTTTTCAGTGTACATATAATATATATATTTTTAATTAAGAGAACACACAATACTTCATTTTATAATTATAATTTTTTTTTAATTAAATATTTTGTTTGAGAATCCGTTGCGAGAACCAACAACAACAACAACAACCACAGCGACATTGTACGTGAAATTTTTGTGACGTCAGAAATCTAAAAAAAAAAAATACAACAACAAAAACAACAACAAAGCACAAGACAACAAAAACAAAAACACCAAATAAACAAATGAAAATGAAAAGTCAAGAAAAACAAAAGAGTTAGAGAGGAAAACATTTCGCAAAAAAGAAAGAAAGAAAAATTCAATTTTTTACACTTAAAGAAAAAGAAAAGATACGCAAGAAATTCTTGAAAGCAATATGAAATAAAACATAAAATATAAACAAAATTATACATATATAAAAAAAGAATAAAAACCAAAAGTGAAAGCCATAAAAGTTGTTCAACTATTAAGAAGAAAAAAAAAACAAAGAAAAGAAATAAATAAAATTCAATATACATTAACAAAAAATACATACATACATACATAAATACATAACATTATTATATAGAGCGTGTGGAAAGAAAATGGAAATAAGAATTAATTAATTTTTAACAAAAGCAACAAAAAACAATGTTCAGGTCAATAACTGCATTTAAATGGAAAAATAAATTAAAAATAAAAACGAAATCGAAATCGAACACGATCGTGAAACTTTGTTAGGCGTTAATCGAAACGAAATGCTCTTTTATATACAACTATACATATATACAGCATATATATAATATATATATATATATAAAAACAAGTAAAATAAATAAAATATACATATTGCAATTTCCCAAAAAAAAACCACAAAAAATTATTCAAACAAGGTCACACTCGAACACGCACAGTGGAACGAAAAAGGAAAAAAATTAACTCAAAAAGTTGTAAGCACAGCAACTAAAAACACTCAAACATTTTATATAGAAAATAAAAAATAAAAACAAACCCACACACACACACACACACATACAATACATAAGTACAGTCGTGGGCAAAATAATTGTAGTGCCATTAGAATTTCGAAATAAATTGTAAACTAAAGAAAACATTTTAAAAACCAATTTTTTTTTTTTCAAATAAAAAATAACCATTTTAGATTAAAAAAAAATTACATAACACAGTTAAGGGTTTTTAAATTATGATTTTCAGAGATGGCCATGCCATTATTTTGACCGCTGGTGTGCCCATTAGTGAAATGCAAAAAAAAGAAGGAAAATTAAGGAAGACACTAAAATTATACTCTCTGCTGTGCAGATGCAAATAAAAAATTTATAAAAAATTAAAAACTAAAAAACACCCAACAACACACACACTTGCAAACACCACCTATGAAACCGTCTCTTTCGCTCTACTACTCTTACCGTATCTATCTATCTCGCTCTGAGCATTCCAGAATCCTTGAAAAACAAACCGCCCACCACCCACATTTTGGTTTTTTGTTGTAGCTTGCACTGAAAAACAAATATTTCGAAAAAGTTATTAGCCAAGTTAACAAATATTTAAAATTAATGATATACTCTACTATAGGAGCAAGGAAGAATGTCCTGTATGTATGGAATATATACATCAACGATCTTCTAAATATAAACTTTAAGTAGAAATGTGTCTCTCTGTGTGTTTGTAGTGTGTGTGTGTTTGTGTATTTGTGTGAGTGTATGTTGTTTTAAAGAAAGTTTAAATATTTTTTTTTTGGGATTTTTTTTTGAGTGTATTATTAAATAAAAGGAAAAAAAAAATATGACGTATGTAGTGTAGTGTAGTTGGAGTATCTAAGCGAATAAGCCAAAATAGTTTTTAAAAAGCCAAGTTAGCAAGTGACGGGTTCGAAAATCGAAAAGTAATACCAAAAAATAAGAAAAAAAGGCGGGAAAGTCAAAAGTTTTTAGGCAGGCAGGTATTTACTTATAGCATTTAAATTCTAAAAAAATAAAAAAAAAACCGAATAAATGGTAAACAATTACCTAAATATATAAATCAAATGCAATTAAACACAAAAAACGTATAAAATACAGAGAGAGAAATACAAAAGTGGGTTCCAGTGGCACTTTTTCTTACTTTAAAAACAAAATACATAAAAAATGAATAATGATATTAATGAGAATGTAAGACGAATTTTAGAGAAATCAGTTTTTACATAAAATTAAGTCGCCCGATGATGGAAGAGGACATAATTCTGGTTTTCCCCCCTTTTAACTGACAATTTCCCTCACTAAAAAAAAACAAAACATCCTGTTGACACATTTCAATGCATATTATATAATGCATCTATACATACATATATATATAAATTAAATATAAATATATATATACCTATACATACGTATAGTATATATGTATTTCATATAAAATACATGATTATTGAAATAACAATATAAGTCTGTAAATTTGTTAACATTTCTAAAAGCAAACACGAAAAATAAATTAAAATAAAAAGTATATATAAAAAAGAATATAAAAAATAATTCAAATAAGATCGATCGTTTCGGGGGGGAGCAGTGTAGAGGGGCGCCCACCTGTGCCCTGTGCACAGAAAAAAATAAATGAAAATTAACATTAAAATCGCCCCCGTTAGTTGTAGCTAAGCCGAATTACAATTATAAAAATAAAAATTACAAAATGAAATACATGCATACGAGCCACTCTCGCAGAATCATCCAAAACTAAATTATATAGTGAGCAGATCCTTCGATTTGCCCTTAAAAATAAAGTAAAAAAAAAATAAAGAAAAGAAAACACGAAAACGAAACAATTGTTGAAAGCAGCTGCTTAAAAATCAAAACGAAAATAAGAAAACAAAAAAAAATGAAAATAATAATTATATACCAGTTGTGAACAAATTATATTTACATAGCGTATAAAATAAATTGCATAACAATTGATTAAAATATAAAAACTAGAGGTGTTTTTAATTGAAGGGAGGGATTTAATAATATTCAACATTAGAAAATGGTAATTTTTTCAAGTGTAAAAGCTCCCTAATAAATTCAAAATTGGCGGGCGTTTGTAAGGATATACTAGGATAAATATCGATAAGTTATCATGGCAGTATTTTATTTACAAAAAATATATATTGTATAAAATATTATTTAAAATGACTTTAAATAAACCCCAATAATTAAACTGAATGCCCGCCAGGCTACAAATATTTAAATTTAGCGCTTAATTTGATATGAAACCTATCGATAAATAAAGTATATTTTTTAGAGTCAGTATTTTAACCAGATCCCAGTCAGAGTGGCCACATCCTTAAAGGCCAAACGACAGTCTGGCATCACTGGCGCTAGGCCGAACTTTGCTGTCCTGGGGAAAATTCGTGAAAAACTTTGTGCCGATTTTTCGGTGGCCATGCCCGTGATTACCAAATAATCCGGACGGACAGCGGACATGCTGTTCCCCATTGACGGCCCGTAATAAGCCGTTAATTACCATTTAGGAAACGAAACAGCAAAAGCCAAAAAAATCCAAAGCGTTTTTGTAAGCCCGGACCCCGAAGAGTCAGAGTCAGTGTCCCCCCAGAAAAATATGACACCGTTCGATGATTTCGTTTATTTGATAAATCATGTTTTGTTGGGCGAGGAGCCGGTAAGTTTTAAGGATATTTCTATATTCTTTATTCCACAAATTGGTTTCATTTCACGGTTGTGTGAGGAAACATAAGGGAGTCACTGTTTTTTGTTGTCTACGAATTGAGAGCTTTAAACTCATTTTGTTGTATAAAAATGACTATAAAATTACTTCCAATTGGAAGTGTGGTCTGAAGACAGCTATATATAATTAGGATTTAAGAGGTAGCAGGAGATTATGGCTATAGAAAGGTATATTTTGATACCCGGTACTACTAAACCTCTTTATTAGATAGTCTTTATTCCTTTTAAACTTGTCTTAATAATCATTAAAGCAGATTATATCATTTTATAGACCATTGAAGACTTTATACTGCTGGTGGGCACCCTGGTGGCCTTCATAGCCTTCATCCTTTGGTGTTGCTTTCCCATCCAACCCAAGGTAAGTCCATCAAAGCTTTAAACTCATAACAATATTTAATCTTTATTGTTTAGGAACCGGGACCGCATCGCCAGTTTACCTGCAAAATCATCCAGAATCCCATTAAGGCCTTCGACGCGGCCCCCAGCACGGAGGAGGCCAATGCTGCGGGTAGTAGTTCGAGTTCTGGAGGTGCCGGAGGCAACACCTCCAGCTGCATGCAGTACAATGGCAGCTCCTCCAGCGGTAGCTACAGCAAAAATGGCACCGTGGCCATGCACAACTACTATGTCAAAAATGGACATCACTGCTGCACCTAATTGTGGGATAGAATACCCATCATTATCACCGTCATCATTGATAGAATCACCGCCACCGCCAACATCACAACCACCAGTATTACTAGCCATTGCCCATGTCCAAGGCTGGGCGATGTTGCTTAGTAATCGCTGCTCATTGTGGCGCTTGAGATCCTTGATTCCATTTATAGAGAGCACAGTCATCCGTATGCGGCTAGCATATCGATTAGGATTTGTGCCAATTGGTGGTTCGACGACAGGTTGTTAGGCAGCAGCTGAAAGCAGCTGTAACAGGCACATTTGAATTGTAATTGCTCAGACTGATTTGTTTATGGAGGAACAGGATGGAACTGGATGAACAGGAGGACAAGGAGGAGGCTTGCAGGACACAGACACACACTTCTGTTTGTGTATTAGTTTCTAACAGGTTTCTAAAACTTGTTGTGCCCAATAACGGCGAGGATGTGTTGTGTTTTTCTGTGTGTTGTTGTGTGTGTGTGTATGTTTAACTTGTAGACACTCGACACTCTAACTCTAAGTATTAGCACACGCCTGCTCCAGCATCTCTTTCTCTCTCTCTCCAACTTCCCATCCCTCCCCAAGCCCCAAATATTCCAAAATCCAAGACATTTTGCCCACAATGCAAGTGAGCAAAGAAAAAAACGATTAAATCTCCCATAAATATTAATAATATACATATATATATTTATAAATATCTCTAAGATACACACCAATGGATTAGAATAGTTTTTTTTTTTGCTTTTGATTTCCTCCTAAATGCTAATTAATATTTAATATTTGTATTTATAATGTGTGGTATATTTATTGTATGTTAATCGCCGAATCTTTGATCTCATTTAATGATTTGTGTTTTTTTTTTAAGATAATTCCAACAACACACTCCACTCCTCCACTGTGCAGGGCTTGTAAATCCCTCTAAAAAAAAAGAAATTATACAAAAAATTACAAAAAAAAATATAACAAAAAAACGCCAAGTGAAAGCAAAGTGTGTGTTTATTATTGTATGTATATATATTATTAGTTTTAGGAAACCTTTCCAGCTAATCAATTTCCACTCGAGAGTGTCCCATGGCTACCCCACTTGAAATCCGAATGAGTAAAAAAAAAAAAACACCGATTTGATAATATTTGTCTTAGAATGTATTTATAAATTAATAACAATGGTATCAGGGCGTATCATTATCAAGTGTTAACAAATATTTCTTAAAGGTTACACACATAGAGCGGGAATATCAACAGATCGTTTTTTGTAAATTATTTTTATATATTTTTTTTATGATTTTTTCATTTTTTCGTTTTTTTTTTTAAGGCAGGAAGATTTTTGTGTTTAATTGGCGGGCACTTGGTATCTTAACTGCTAGTATCTCGTTTTGGGCTTTGGTAACGGTTCAAACATTTGTGGATCGTCCAACTACTGGCTACTGGATATACTATATATATATATTATATACACTATATACAATGCGTAATAAATAGAAATCGCCACTGTCGCCGGAATCTAATCTAAACCTAAAAAAGACAGTCTTACGAAATAATCAAAGCGTAAACTATTTTATACAAAAACAAACAAAAAAAAAAAAAAACGGGGATCCAATATATATATAATAATATATAGGTTTTGTTGGTAATAATCTCCTGGTGCCAGCACCAGTTTTTCTTTTCTTTTTTTTTTCTTCTTTTAGTTTGTGACCAAGACTAACTGCTGCAGTCGCGGGGAAAGAAGACATTCATCTCGATCAGGATCTGGAGGACTATGAAGACGGCGTAGACTGTGAAGAGGGCCACGCCCACTCGTTTGGTGAGACGATAGCCGCTGAAGCTGAGAATGATGAACAGGGCGATGGTGGAGATGATCAGGATCAGGATATTGTACTCGATGCCCTGGGTACCCACTTGCTGCGGTTCCCCGCTGCCATAATGGATGCAGTTCTTGATGAACCATGGCACGCCCAAGGAGAGCAGGATAGCCAAGGAATTGGCCCCTAGAGAGTTCGAAACTCCAATGCCATTTTCACCTAAAAATATTAAATTTTTTAATTAAAATTTTACCTTAATTTTTAGTTAAAAAAACTCACCATTTCTTAAAGAAATTAAACTGGAAACTGCCTCTGGCATGGTGGAACCAGCCGCCAGGAATGTAAGACCCATCACAATGGTGGGCACATGAATAGCCACACCAAAGGCCGTCAACATCCAGACAATCAGATAGGCATTGGCGCCAATGCACAGGATGCACATGATGAAGGACAAAGGATACAGGCGACGGTACTTCATGGGATGTGGAATCAGCCAGGAGAGGGCGAACTTGATGGGAAAGACAAAGATCCACCAGAACTTCATCAGAGTGGAGGCATCATGGGGATAGGCATAAATGCTTTTCGGCATATCATCCTCATCATCGTCCTCGCCATTCCCTAAAAAAAAAAGGAAATTTTAAAATTATAAATAATATTTAAAATTAAAACTCTTCAATGCTAAAAAACCTACAATGCTTGGGATGCGTGAGGTTGGCAGTGGAGGACATGGATGAGGTATTCTCTGGCAGGTTAACCACAAAAAGACCATCTCCCGACAGGGGATCCTTCTTAAGAGGCAGCTGAGCCTTGGCACTGTTCTCTGGTGGTTCCGTTAAATCTTAAAATATTAAAAAAATATTTAATAAAGACCCTAAAAAGAAAAAAAAAAACCCAAAACTCACCATAACGCGTTGAGAAACAACAATTCATACGATCCTCAATAAACACCCGAATGGCTGGCATAAACTTGTTATTATTGAAGGTAATCAAATAATAGAGTACCAAAAATCCCATCATAATGCAGGATTCGGTAAAGGATATGCTGCCGCCCCAGGCCAATACCAGCAGGATAATCGTATTGAAGATATAAATGAAACAGTCCCGGGCAATCGGCCACCAATCTAGTTGAACGGGCTAAAAATATATAGGGTATTCCTTAAGATTAGTCACGGTTTATAATTCATAAATTAGTTATTCCTATAGTACCTTGATTAGAAAGGTTCTTATCAAATCGGGTAATTTACAAAGTACTTTGAATATGAATTGAAATGGTTATTTTTAGTAGAGTATGTCATTGATTTAATCAGCTGATACGATGGGGAGGTGTCCGCGTGTCCCCGAAGTCTTTTTTTTAATAATTTCTGATTGGTTTATCCTTATTATACGATTGTGATTCATTTATAAGTAAAGTCTAGCCACGATAAAGAACCTATATACTAGTTATAGTCTCAAGAACTTACCTTATCGATAGCTAGAGCCGCCAATCCTGCCACACCCAGAGTATTGAACATCAAAGACCCTATTATCGTGCCCAGACCCATGTCTGAATCCAAAATCAAGGTACTAATAGTGTTCGTAAAGAACTCTGGCATGGAGGTGGCTGTGGCCATAAAGGTGGCCGCTGCCACATCCTTGGACAAATGGAGATCCTCGCAGATACACTCCACGGTGGGCAGGAAGTAATCATTGCAGATGATAGCCAGCAGGATAAAGAAATAGACTGCCGCAAAAACGTGCAGGACAACCCAACCCTGGCGAAGTTGTTCCACTGAAAGAAAATACAAAAAAAATTAATTAGTTTTCATTGTCGACGCTAGGTCTGATTAATAAAACAATAAACTAGTCAGGGGCTATTTTATTCTCTTACCACAAAGGGATCTTAGCCGCCCACCAGATCCAATCAAAAAATCACTTGGCAACGGATTAGATATCGATCCCACACCAAGTCATTCCCTAATTTTAGGTCTAAACTCTCAGTTCGTATATAATCTTTTATTTTTTTTTTAATTTTTTCTTACCGTCGAAATCTTATCGGGGTTCTTATTAAAATCTAGACCCATTCCCATCCACAGATATCGCCATACATCTGAGTTGTAAGTGGTCTGTAGCGCGGTATGGTATTCAAGTTCAAAAGCGATAAGACTTCCCCCCAAATGACAGTATCGCGTGTCCGCGTGTCCGGTTGTCCGCTTGTCCGTAAGTAACTCCAATCTCCTCTGCTTTCAGGTGATGACTCTATAAACAGACTATGCAGGCGTTACTGCCTGATTTATTGGCCATTGAATTGGACTGTTATCAGTCTGATAGCAAAGCAGGAAAGACATTGGGCCAAGACAGACACCCGGACACACGGACAAGTTCAAGTTCATCCGGTAATCCCATAGTTTAGGTCACTTACTATATAATCTATTGAAATACGGAACTTGGTGGGAACTTACCCGTAAATAGATCGGGAAACTCGTCCATGGGGGAGGCCTCATCTTCGCCAGGACACGAGGCACGTGGTAGGATGTCCAGAAGTAGTTGCTCGTCAAAATACCGTAAAGATGTCGCCAGAAAGCTTGTCTCGTTGCCAACTAAAAATCAAAAAAATAGCAACCGAATAACAAAAAACAATTAATCAATTTGTCATCAGACTTTTGTGAGATCTTATATCTCAACCCTGAAGTCTTTGGAAAAATCAACGAAACGATAAGATTAAGTCTCAGAAAAAGCACACACGACGAACACAAATCAGACTGACATTGCAATCAAAATCGAATAATCAAGCAATCAATAGATGTTTGAAAATCAAAGGGTATATTGGTTATTTTATTTCAGATATTTTCTAATTATTTCAAATATAATTTATTAAAAGTATTCCTGTTTGTTAAGTTTCAATGGCATTTTTGTTATTTATTTGTAAAAGTAGCCTCATAACCTTAAGTTTACATTTATAGCCTAGACTATATTTTCACTTAAAAATTGCTTTTATTTCAAGTTTCATAACTAAATTATCACTAGACATGAAAAAAAGAACAAAAAAACCTTTAAACGTGATCTGGTTATATTGAATATTAGGTTTTTTTTGTTAAGAAATACTTTTCTTTTTGTTTCAAGTGATAAATATTAAAATATTGTTTAAATGGTTTAGTTTCATTGGGTTTTTAGTAAATTTCAAATGATATAAAACTAAATTTATAGTTTTAAGTAGTAGTTTCAAGAAACTAGACTTATGGATTTCATTTGGGAATTATAGAAGCTCTAAAGATCAGGATTAAGTAATTATTTGTTATATTAAAGTTATAATTAAATTATTAGATAGACTAATTCCTTGTAAATTCTTGAGGTTTTGATCAATGCCTGGTGATATTAATCGATAATAACCCCTTAACTTTAAAAAAAACTAGAACCTTTTAGGATTTTAAGAGACTCTGAAGATCTAGAGACTCTGGAGGATCTAAAAACTTAATCAGTATTGTATTAAAGTAATAATTTAATTATTAAAATAATAATAACTTATTCCTTTTAAATTCTTAACAGTTTCGATCAATGCCCATCGATCTTTATCGAAAGTTGCTTCTAATTTATAAAAACCTACAACCATTTTGGAATTTCAGAGACTCTAAAGCTAGTCCCAACCCTTCCCTATCGATCTTAAAAACTCTGAAAACCCTTAAGTCATAAAAAGAAAGCTTAAAAATAAGAGTCTTCCTAGAAATAATCTAGAAATGATCGATATAAAAAAAAGTTATAACTTCTCTAATCTTTTTAAAGCTTCTTTTGGATAAATTTTCGTGGGATGATCGTTAGTCACAGACAGCATTTAGTAGTGAGGTATTATGATTTCATTATAATTTCTGGAGTTCGCACGAAAAGCCATAAGACCCAGAACTCGGAAAAACAAAAACATTCCATTCCGAATCGTGGTCAGATAACCAATTATATAGCCGTTTGCTGCAATTAACTCGGATGCCAGTTAGCTGTGGGTTCTGATTGGCAGTAAATTCGATTCATTTGGAGTTTTTACAGCATTATTGTTGTTATTAAGCCTTGATACCAGTTTGTTTATATTTTGTTTTCATTTTTTTGATATTTAACTTTTTAGCGGGAAGCAGCAATTGCATTGACGGCCCAAAATAAATCCAACAGTCATGGACATTTCGCGACGATGATGACGATCTGATGATGATGATTTGTTTATGTTTGTCTGGCTTTGTTTCGTGTAATTGTTTTATGATATACCCCCCCTAGATCACAGTCACCAGGGGATGTGGTTTTTTTTTTCTTTCCTTATCTTAGTAGAGTAGAGTCCCCCCCTCCTGGTCGGCAATGAGACTTTTGGGCTCTTTTCTCGGTCTTGGTCGCGGTCTAGGTCTCGGTCTCGGTCTCGGACTGGGTCTGGGTCTGGGCCAGTTTGTTATCACTTATTTTTTTACACCCCCTCATAGTCAGCCAGTTTGTCAGCCATCAGTATAAATATAAATACGAATACAACCATTAATTGCCAATGCCATCCATTCGTTGGCAACGCATTCGTTGGCATTTCGTTTTCACTTAACCAAGTTTTTTTTTTTTTTTGTTGACCAAGTCCCTCTTCCCGGTAATGAGATACTAGTCGTATCAGCTCCATGTCGACATCTCGGGTAATATAATATCACTGCTGATGATAAGCTGATCAGGGGCCCTAATTAATAATTTGTTTGATCACAAACGATGCAAAAACGTGATGCCAACTTTGCTAAAATTTAGATCGTAGTTTTGAAAAAGACTTTGTTGGGTTATTTTTTAAGAGTTTTGGGAGGAAATACCTATAATTTTATAGTTGCAGGATCTAACTTAAAACCCCTTAGATTTCCTGAAATATTAAGAAAAACTGTAGAGTCCTTTCTATAGCCCTGTCCGTCTGTCCGTGAGTTTATCCGCATGTTTGAGAGTCTATAGCTCTTAAACTATTCAAGTTATATATAAAACTTTGTATTTTCTTGATTTTCTTATCAATTAACTTTCTTTTTTTAAGCCAAGCCCCTTTCTTTAACCTCTTTTTAATTTTAAATTTTCATAAAAACACCAAAACATAACCAAAACCTTAAACCTTGAGAAAATAAAGCCACTGCAGTTTTCTTTTTATAACTTTTAGGCCTTAGCTTTAAAAAAAAACTTGTTTTGAATTGAAATGGTTTCTTTTTTGTTGTTTTTTTGTTGCCAAGTGACGTCAGCAACCTCTTGACCCGATTTTAAGAAACTTCTTCGAAGTTCACGTGCGAGATACGCTCGATGGCGGCATTTGATTTGCAATTGTTTTTTCTATTCCAACTATGTGCAACACGCAATTGTTGCAGCTGCCACATTGTTTTACAATTAAATTGAATAATTAAAATATAAAAAAAAAGAATGAAAAGAAAAAAACAAAGCCGGGCGATCTTACATACTCCCTGGTCTCAGACCATTCAGTGGGTCAGATACGCGATCAAAGTTGCAACCACAATTATGGGCTTTCCACGCGCCACTTGCACTTGCCACTCGCATGACTCGCCGAGAAGAAAAGTCTTGACTAACTGACGATCGGATTTGGATTTGGACTCGGCATTCGAACTCGGGTTGGGATACCGACATGGCATTGCATCTGGCAATGGAATGCAACTACCAACAGTGGAGTGGCAAGTGGCAGAACGTGTCGCCGACCAGCCAGGGCCCAAAAGCCCGAAGTCAGAGCCGAGCAAACGAGTTTATTGAACTTGTTTTTGGCCCATACCCCCGCTCTCTCGAAGTAAACACTTTAAACAATTGTCGGGAAAAGTGTTGGCTTTTATTTGTTTACCAACAATTTTCTATAACCTACAAAAAAAAAAACAAATATTAAGGAGAAATATAGGTCACTGTCATATACAAAGGCTTTAAAAATAGAGATTGATTTGAAAAAAGCTAATTATGGGGCTTAAAAATAGATCATAAAGGTTCCCAGTCAAAAAACTAGTATAGTTTACATTTAATAACAAAATATATATGATTTCTTTAAGTGAAAACGCTTATGAGATGTTTTTGGAAAACCCAGACACTCTCTGTTACTCTGACTTACTCGATAAAAACCGACTTGCGGAAATGGGGGAAATTTGTTTGTGGCTAAGGGCCCAAAGCCCTATCGATCAGGGCTATGTCGTCGATTACGGGGAAGGCCCAGACAACCCAGAGACCTAGAGAGACCCCGCCCATAAAATACTATACTATATAGTATTTAAAAGTATGAATCCAATGCTGATCGGAAATATTGTGCAATTTTACGCTACCAAGGCCCATCGACTGCTTGGTAATCGATAATCGTCGAATCGTCAAAGTTGTTTCTTTGTTCCAATTACCAAAGGCAGCGAGGGTAGCCAAAAGAGTTCCCCTTCTCCGGTTTTTTTCTGTAAAATGCAAATGCAATGAATAAACAAAATAAAACAAAAAGTCTGGCTAATTGTTTGGTAAATACGATTTATTGGTTCGCCGTCAGTTATATGGTTATGAGCCGCCACTGGCCAACAAAAGTAGGCAATAGACCCAGTAACCTAATTTATTTTTCAAAACATAAATTGGCAAACGGAAATGCCAGATGAAGCATTTAATTCCAGAGACATACCATATATAATTAAAACGTCCGATTGAATTAATATCCGATGTTAAGAGTGTCAATGGATTTGAATTGAATAAGATCTGGTAGAGAATTATTTGCAATTAATTTCTGAGAGGGAGGTAGAGTAGGTAAATTGTAAACAAATCTAACTAAATCATATAATAATAATTTTATAAGACAAATAGTTGTTTAAAAAATTCATAATCTTTCAAAATTTTTTTTCCTAATAATTTAAAGTAAGCCCTCGTTTACTAAAACATCGTGACACTCCCACACAACTATTTATTAAATAATTTTCATGAAAACTCGACTTTGTCCAACGATTACCGACACATGGCTATGTCTAATAGGTAATAGATAATGCTGACTATATAATGGATAATCCACAGACAAGAAAAAAAAAACAACCAACAAGAAAATCTCTATTTCCGGTAACTTGTAGCATGGTGTTGTCTCACGTTGTTTACTTATTTGCGCCGGCAAAACAAAAAATGATTTACAAAAAAAATAAATAAAAAAAGAAAAAAAAAACAAAAACTGTAAAGAAACTACTTGGAGATAAATAAGTGAATAATAATAAAAAATAAATAAATAAAATAAATAAAGAGCTAGTAATGCGCGAACTCGAACTTCAATAAGAAGAAGCTGGGAATGCGATGGGAAAATACAAATAAATTACATTTTGTTAAATTATGATGTGATGACTTTGGTTTGTAATGGCTAGGTTTGTTTAGTGTTTAGATTCTTTAAATAGGATTTGAATTATTTAGAATATTTCGAAAAAAAAATCCCCTCAAATGCCCATTTCCTAAAAAATGCAAACAAACGTCAGCAAACAGAATTCCTTTTCATCATTCCAGAGAAAAATCATCGAGTTGGAATTACCAAACACCAACCATACTTATTAAATCGCATATCACATCTCATTTTGGGATCTGGGGGTATTTATAGATCTGGACGAGGGTTCTCATTTCCAAAGAATTATCAGGGAATCACCAGGGAATTTGCTAACTGATCGATTAATACGAATATAGTTGAACATTCTGCCACCGATCTCCGATCATTATGTAAGCCGATTATGGCGATGATTATGATCATCGTGAGTCGACAAATATCTCTAATTTGTTTGCCATTCAAATGTCTAAAGATTCCCGCCAAAAAAATAAAAAAAAAACAAAAACAGAAAGCAGTGTGAGAATATTCCTAGAATTCTGTATAATCCAGTTTTAGAAAAACAATCTTTTTTGGAGCGAACCAAACATTTCCATTCTTAGAGAACTTGTTTGCCATTGTTTGGCCTATATTTGGGTTTGGATTTTTGGGGTTCAGTGGTTTATTTATTTATTTTATATTATTAATATGTAATAAATAACTCAGCTTATACAAAACCATATAAGGATGAGCCAAAAATAAAGGCTTTGATATTTTTCTTGGGAATTATGACAGACAAGTCAGCTTCCAAAGACCTATGCATCACAAAATTGTAAAACATTATCGTAATTAAATATAGAATTTTTTTAACTAAAAAAAATTAAGTAAATATCAACCTCAAGATCAAGTTCAAGTACCACAGACGCCCTTGATTTCGGATGGCATATTGTAAATATATATTTTTGGGCTTTGTTTTTGATTTAAAAAGAATCTTGATTAAAATACTGTCAATACTAAAAAGCCATGACAGGTGAAAAATATATATATGGTATATATATATATATATATTTAAAATCTATATTAAAAATGAATCGTAATAAGTGGACACAAGACATTCCAGCGATAATGTGTCGTATTGGGTAGAAATTTGAACTACCACTTGTTACCCCCAGATAGTGTACCGATTTGCTTAATGGCAATATAGTAGGTACATTATATACATACATATATAAATAGTTGAAGCACCAAACCAAAAAAAAAATGATACACTTGAACTCGAACCGAATCAAAATCGAAAATCAGAAAATCCTCCTGCATGTACGGGCCATAAATCGCATGTATTCGAACCCCCTCCCTCCTTCGTAAATCACTGCCGGCCACTTCAGCGATTCTCCAGATAAGCCATAGTACCTATAAAACCCAACCCCTTCCCAATTCATCCACAAAAAAAAAACATCAGATTTTTGGGACACATCCATCAGGAGTCCTCGAAACGATAAAAAACGAATGTAATTGCCAAGGAAGCATCCATTTCCTGTCGAATATGGATAAGTGCTATTTGATTGATCGATCGATTCATAGATTTGTTTATTTTTTGGACAAAAGGAAGTCTCATTAATTATATTATTTTTTGTAGAAATAATTTATACATTTAAAAAAAAAGGATTTATCTTTAGATTTTAAACTCATAACTAATTTTAGGGTTACTTTATTTTAATATTTTTAATTAAAACTTACCCTTGGCTTCAATATTTGTTATTAGACTGCCACATAATATTAAGCCTAGGCCCAAAAAAAGGGCACCAGTTCTATGCATTTTTTTAATTTAAAATTTAAACTACAATTTTTTAGGGCAATGGCTTGGCTTGGCAATGAAACGTTTAAAAAATACAAAAAAACAACACGTGCTACTCAAAAAAACACTTGATTTTCTTTTTGATTTTAAAACTTAATAGTTAACCGCTTAATATATTTAATATTTTGTATCACACACGGCGTATGCGCAACGTTTCTTCTTTTGACAAAATGGCCGACTCTTAGCTTCCGGTTAACCGTTTACCGTTGTTTCGAATTTGTTTCGTTTACGGTATTTCTCGGCTGCTGGCCTCCTCCGGCAAACCGCTTGGCTAGAATTGTATCGCACAACTAATTAAGTGCGACCAGCGTGCGCCCGTCTTAATAATAAACGTCGACAGCACCGCCCGCGTCGGCGTCAACGTCGACCGAGGCAGCAGCAGCGGCAGCGACAGAGGCCCTGGCAGAGCGGGCAACTTTTTTTTTTTTTTTTATTTCGTATTGTATTGACGGTTTTATAAAGATATCTCTCTAGTAAGTCTAGTCAGTCAGTCACTTCACTTCGCATTACTTTACTTATTTCTCTTTAAAATTCTACCCATTTTTTTTTGTCGTTTTCTTTCTTTAATCTTTACCTAAAGAGCTATATATACGCGTATATAGTATATAGCCGAACATTTGCGTATCGGTCGTTAAAGCTGGGGAAATGGGGAAATTACAAGGGGGTCTACACGAATGATACGGGAGATTCATTCAAAAAAAATAAATGAAAACGAAGGCAAACATCGAGGGGAAGACCCGGGTATTTTGCTTATCCGAAAAAGGAATTACAAGACTTGAAACTATAATTATTAATTCAGGATACCTATGTCACGGGTAATTCCAAAATGACTTGGCTATTATTTTTCAAAAAGGTAAGAAGGTGACAATTATTTTTTTATATTAATTGTATATTGTCAACCTTTAGTGACGACTTCTTGAAAGATTTAAAGATTTGAAATGAAATATTAAGGCCTTAAATTAGTAGAGTATTTCAAAGGAAGAAAAAACGTTAGAAATAAGGGATTAAGATGAGTATTAATACATAGAAGAACAAGTTTAGACTTTTTAAAGAAAAACAAAAAAAAACTTAAGAAAATAGGTATATTTTGCACCCTTTGTGAGTCACAGCTAACGGACACGCGGAAAACCTTGGAATAAATACTCCAAAATATATAAGAAAGAAATGTTTAAAAAATTCTAGATAAAGATTTAAACCAAAAAACCCCAGGTATACCATAGTCGCAACCAAGTATTATCACTACCTATGTATGGGTAAGTTCTCCTCTCAATCTGCCAGTGTATGCGTGTGGGTGTGTAGATGTGGGGAGTCATTAATATACGAGTTACCGTTCTGATAAGAAGGAAAAATAACAATTGGCCCGACATTTTATCAATCTATCGGCAGTAGTCACTAACCGACCTGCCTGCCGCCTTTTTATGTACATAAACATATATACAGTGCGTTTCATACATTTAGCATAATCTATATTTACACCTTGAACTAGTTAATAAGTAATAGTAAAATATCATTAGCTTTCCAAGTAACTAGAAATTTATCTCAAGTGTTTTCTTTTTTTCTAACGACTAAGTATTCTCCATCTCCATTACTCCCGGATTTAAGTGTATATATAGAACAATTGCTCTGGAAAGCTTTTCGGGGGCGTTGTCAGGTCGTAAATAAAAAATAAAAATCTCTATTCTGACAGAGAGTGTGTTTTGATCGCCGATAACTGATTCAATTCCCTAAATTAAGGATTATTTAACGCGCTTCGTAGCATTTTCTTCGGGGATTTTATTGTAGATTTTTCTGCATTTATTTCATTGACTATTTTGAAAGGAAATTTCCCATAGGTTATCTGTTATTATTCTTTTTTTTGGCTAAAATCATTTAGTTCGAGAACTAATATGATATATCATGGTGAAGTTGTGCAATTTTTGTCATCAATCTTGCAGATATTTTTTTGAGAGAGTATAATGGACTATACATATGTTTTTTTAGCTTTCAATTCTTAAAACTATACTATTTTCTTCATAACTATTCCAATTATTTAAAGAACTTAAATTAGAATAGATAACTATTTACCCGGAACTTGGCTTGAAAAAAATAACACGTATACGCCTAGTACTCCCTTCATAAAAAACTAATGACATCGTTGGTGGCACATTTTCTATATAGACTTGGAAACCGCCTATATTTTTGTGCCAACCACAAAGGATTGTAAATAATAATTAAAAATCTATATTTATGAAGAGGCTTTCAAGTCTCGAAGAGAAGGAAAGAAAATAAAAAGAAGAAAGTATTATCGACAACTAATCAAATCAGCGCGCTACTGAATTTTATTTCGATTTCGAGCCCCCTATCCGGGCATTATTTTTGGTGATTTTTAGACGTCATCGTATATACGTCGTTAACAATGGCGTAGCATTTGCAAGGCATGGCATATGTCAGCAGGAGTCCGATAATATATTGTCCGGTCCTATCGGTACACGGGTATATCAATAACTCTACGATAAGCTACTTTTTTTTTAGGTTCTTTTTTTTTATTTTGAAAGAAAAGATTCTTTTTGCACTCGAAGCACATGCTTTTTTTGTTAACTGATTTTCGGTTACTTTCATTCAAGATAGTTGGTCTTTTTCCTGTTGAAATGCTTTATAAATTAGGGTCCAAACTTTGGACTCAGAGGCTATAAGGTGCCACGATCCAAATGGAAGTTTACCAATTATTTTGTTCAATTTTTTCTATTTAGTTGTTATCTATATAGTAAGTCCAGTAATTACTTAATAAGTAAGGGAAGATTCTGTTGTCACTGATATAATACTTAAATAATTGTTTGTCTAAAAAGCCAGTCGAAAGCCTTAATGGTAATTTAAGTAATACTTATTATGACATTTAAATTCAAGAAGCTTTAGCGAAAGTTTTATTTATATAAAAATAGATAAATTGTTAAGTTTATTAATAAGTTTATTTACGTTGTGTTAGATTTATTAATTTGATTGTATTTTGGTTAAATAGAAAACAAAATAAACACATCCAAAATAAAAACAGTAAGATATTTAAAAGCTTTAAAGTCTATATAACTTTGCGCCTTTTGTTTTTATATGGGGGGCACTCGATTATTATTACTGGCTATAGAGTAATTAGCCGCAAAGCTATATAGTCCAACTTATAATCAACGTTAATTAGAAAGCCGATTAAAGGCTTTTAATAATTTGTTTGGGGGCACCTACCGATTAAGAATTCTCGCCTGGTTTCTCACTATTTTTATACCCTTGCAAAGGGTATTATAATTACGGTCAAAAGTCTACAACACCCTATAAAGGAAAGACCCATTTTTAGGGGTCCCATCAGGAAAAATGGACAAAAAATCGAAAAAATATTTTGTTTCAGGATTTTGATGCAGAATGATGGAGAATCGACCTAGAAATCGTTTAAGGTACTCCGCTTAAGAATCGGATGAGAATTGCGGAAGATATGGCCATCACAGTGGACGCTATAGGGGAAAACCCCATTTTTAGGGGTCCCATCAGGAAAAATGGACAAAAAATCGAAAAAATATTTTGTCTCGGGATTTTGATGCATAATGATGGAGAATCGATCCAGAAATCATTTAAGGTACTCCGCTTGAGAATCGGATAAGAATTGCGGAAGATATAGCCATCACAGTGGGCCCCATAGAGGAAAACCCCATTTTCAGGGGTCCCATCAGGAAAAATGGACAAAAAATCGAAAAAATATTTTGTCTCAGGATTTTGATGCAAAATGATGGATAATCGACCTAGAAATCGTTTAAGGTACTCCGCTTAAGAATCGGATGAGAATTGCGGAAGATATGGCCATCACAGTGGACGCTATAGGGGAAAACCCCATTTTTAGGGGTCCCATCAGGAAAAATGGACAAAAAATCGAAAAAATATTTTGTCTCGGGATTTTGATGCATAATGATGGAGAATCGATCCAGAAATCATTTAAGGTACTCCGCTTGAGAATCGGATAAGAATTGCGGAAGATATAGCCATCACAGTGGGCCCCATAGAGGAAAACCCCATTTTCAGGGGTCCCATCAGGAAAAATGGACAAAAAATCGAAAAAAATATTTTGTCTCAGGATTTTGATGCAGAATGATGGAGAATCGATCCAGAAATCGTTTAAGGTACTCCGCTTAAGAATCGGATGAGAATTGCGGAAGATATGGCCATCACAGTGGACGCTATAGGGGAAAACCCCATTTTTAGGGGTCCCATCAGGAAAAATGGACAAAAAATCGAAAAAATATTTTGTCTCGGGATTTTGATGCATAATGATGGAGAATCGATCCAGAAATCATTTAAGGTACTCCGCTTGAGAATCGGATAAGAATTGCGGAAGATATAGCCATCACAGTGGGCCCCATAGAGGAAAACCCCATTTTCAGGGGTCCCATCAGGAAAAATGGACAAAAAATCGAAAAAATATTTTGTCTCAGGATTTTGATGCAGAATGATGGAGAATCGATCCAGAAATCGTTTAAGGTACTCCGCTTAAGAATCGGATGAGAATTGCGGAAGATATGGCCATCACAGTGGACGCTATAGGGGAAAACCCCATTTTTAGGGGTCCCATCAGGAAAAATGGACAAAAAATCGAAAAAATATTTTGTCTCGGGATTTTGATGCATAATGATGGAGAATCGATCCAGAAATCATTTAAGGTACTCCACTTGAGAATCGGATAAGAATTGCGGAAGATATAGCCATCACAGTGGGCCCCATAGAGGAAAACCCCATTTTCAGGGGTCCCATCAGGAAAAATGGACAAAAAATCGAAAAAATATTTTGTCTCAGGATTTTGATGCAAAATGATGGATAATCGACCTAGAAATCGTTTAAGGTACTCCGCTTAAGAATCGGATGAGAATTGCGGAAGATATGGCCATCATAGTGGACGCTATAGGGGAAAAACCCATTTTTAGGGGTCCCATCAGGAAAAATGGACAAAAAATCGAAAAAATATTTTGTCTCAGGATTTTGATGCAGAATGATGGAGAATCGATCCAGAAATCATTTAAGGTACTCCGCTTGAGAATCGGATAAGAATTGCGGAAGATATAGCCATCACAGTGGGCCCCATAGAGGAAAACCCCATTTTCAGGGGTCCCATCAGGAAAAATGGACAAAAAATCGAAAAAATATTTTGTCTCAGGATTTTGATGCAAAATGATGGATAATCGACCTAGAAATCGTTTAAGGTACTCCGCTTAAGAATCGGATGAGAATTGCGGAAGATATGGCCATCATAGTGGACGCTATAGGGGAAAACCCCATTTTCAGGGGTCCCATCAGGAAAAATGGACAAAAAATCGAAAAAATATTTTGTCTCAGGATTTTGATGCAGAATGATGGAGAATCGATTCAGAAATCATTTAAGGTACTCCGCTTGAGAATCGGATAAGAATTGCGGAAGATATAGCCATCACAGTGGGCCCCATAGAGGAAAACCCCATTTTCAGGGGTCCCATCAGGAAAAATGGACAAAAAATCGAAAAAATATTTTGTCTCAGAATTTTGATGCAGAATGATGGAGAATCGATCCAGAAATCGTTTAAGGTACTCCGCTTAAGAATCGGATGATAATTGCGGAAGATATGGCCATCACAGTGGACCCTATAGGGGAAAACCCCATTTTCAGGGGTCCCATCAGGAAAAATGGACAAAAAATCGAAAAAATATTTTGTCTCAGGATTTTGATGCAGAATGATGGAGAATCGACCTAGAAATCGTTTAAGGTACTCCGCTTGAGAATCGGATGAGAATTGAGAAAGATATGGTCATCACAGTGGGTCCTATAGGGGAAACCCCCATTTTCAGGGGTCCCATCAGGAAAAATGGACAAAAAATCGAAAAAATATTTTGTCTCGGGATTTTGATGTAGAATGATGGAGAATCGACCTAGAAATCGTTTAAGGTACTCCGCTTGGGAATCGGATGAGAATTGAGGAAGATATGGCCGTCACTTTGGACCCTATGGGGGTCCTATAGGTCCTATATATGTATATTCTATAGGTGCCTTTTAACTGAATTATCAAAAATTAGTTTTCCTTTCTGGTTCTTGAATGAATTAGTGAATTACACCTTAAAATTAAATGGAAGACTTGGCAATTATAAAGACAAGTGATGTCATAGGTACAATCTGGTACGATTTCGATTATATTTCACTTTTCCTTTTCTTTAATTTCTTGTGTTGCCAAAATGCCGGATAGAGGCGAGTTAAGTGGTTTTCGCCGGTTGGCGATTAACAATTATCAGGAGCCGAGTCAATCCAGTGCCGGACATCGTAAGTGAGAGTTTGATCAAGATTACCGGCCACTCCACAGTTCCAGTGGCGACTTAGTCCTCTTAAGCACCTGTGGGCACGTCCGATTTCTTTTTATATGTTTATTTTATTATTACTTTTTTTTAAAAAACTGTATCAGAGCACCCACATACCGATGGTTTGGGGGGATAATAAATGGCCAATTCACCATTGGTCAGTTTTAAAGTGAAGACCTAAAATCTAATCACAAATCACTTCTTTCGACCAATGAGGCCAAAGATCATGGAGATGTTCAAGTGACATTTGCCGGAAAAAGACACTTTGCTTAGAAAAAGTAAAGGAATTTTGTTTTTCTTAAAGATTTTAGAGATTTTGGAGAGAAAAATATTTTAAAGGGAGTTGAAACATATAGGAGATAGAGGGAAGAAATGATATTTTACAGGACTTATAAATAAAACGTAGTAAACAAAACCCCAAAACAATCTCTAATAATATCATATCATCCATCCAGGGATCCCCAATGCTTCACAACAAAACCTACACGAGTGGTCAAAAGAAATTAAAAAATATATATATGTCTTATCAATAAATATAAATTATGGGAGTCGAAATACACGGGTGAATTACCAATGACAGCGTGATATTGAAGTATCTCTAGCTGCTTGATGTCATAACATGGTCTAATTGACGTCACCACCTTACTGATAGGTTTTTCGTCTGATCACCGAGTGTAGATTTTGCGAATATTTTTCCAAAGCAGTTTTGTCCACTTGCCCGCAAATCAATTAACTTTTGGATTGAATTGGAATTATATCAAGACGAATATCATTAGACAAATTGACTTTTTTACGCTAACTCTATTATTATACCTATCATTATAATAAGTTAAGAATATTATCAGCGTATTTCGTGACCAAAAATTAAACATTCTAAATAAAATAGTCAGAAATGTGATGGGATGCGCATGAAAAAAATGGCTTCGTCCACGGCCCATCTCACTATATTTCCCACTATTATTTTAGCCAATTTCGATCCAAAACTAAGAATTTGTTCAAATATGGAGCGAACTTCTTCTCTTCGATGTCACAGTAGACGGTATCATTGAGTACTATTTCCATGGTACATGCTCCGGCCAAAAAGAGGATATAGGCTATTAAACATATCCATCCGAGGGGCTTTCCCATCACGAACCTGGTGCACAAAAATGTTGAATAGACTATGAATACGGTGAACAATAGCATTCCAGTGGTGAATGTAATTGCCGTTGAGTCTATATAGACAAAGTCCATATAAATCATGTTTTTCAAGAACCATGGCACGCCCAGACAGATCAATATATCAATGGTATTAGATCCGATGGCGTTACAAATCGCCATGGAGCCATAACCTGCCAAACAATGGAATTAAAATCATAAAAAATTTAAAGAAATAAAGACTTACCCTTCTTGGAAACAATGTAGGAGGAGGCCACTTCTGGAACACTAGTACCAGCTGCCAATACCGTAAGACCCATTATAGAGTCCGGTACACCCAGATTGTAGCCGACAATCGTAAGGAACCAGGACAGCATATAGGATATAATACTTATCCATATAACGGCCATTAACATGGAGAGAAAGTATATTCCTCTCACACTGGGTATGGTTAGGGCAAAGATCAGGTTAAATGGATATTTAAAGGCCCACCAGATCCACTCGCAGCAATTCGAATCCGGCTCTGGCGTTCCACAAACGTTATCTCGAAAGGATTTCAAAGGCTCCTCCTCACGCTCCATCGGATCCTCGTCCATTAGCTCTGATTCTATGCGACGCCCTAGAATATTGATAATAAATAATGGGAATTTGCTAAAAATATCCGGTACTCAAAGACACCCCCTTGAGTACCAGATATTATAAATCATATTGAAATAAAACATACTTCTAATACAACCCTGAATCCGACGATCCAGGACCAGAAAGATCAAGTAAAATACATAGATGATCAGTAGCACCATGGACTCGTACCACAGGACCAAAGAGTCCCACAAAGTCGCCGTCAGAATTGCAATGGCCACGATATACCATATACAATCTCTCGTCACTGGCCACCAATCGAGTTGGCTCTAAAATAAGGATACATATATATCTTTTTTTTAAAGATTAAACCTCACTAACCGGTGGTGTTAGAATACCACAAATAGCAGCAATAACCAGGACATTAAAAACAGAAGAGCCAACAATGGTGCCAATGCCGATGTCGCCGTGGGTAACAAAAGTTCCTATAAAGTTGATAAATAGCTCCGGTGCCGAGGTAGCTCCTGCCAGGAAAGTAGCACCCGCCACGTCATACGTCATACGCAAGGCTGCGACAATGCTATTGTTACTAATACTAATATTTTTGAAATAATTAAAAAAAAATCAAAAATAATCCTACAAAAGCAAAGACGCTCCATGGCGGGAACTAAATAGTTGTCGCAAACAATCGCCAGGCCTACGAACAGATACATGGTTAGCAGGAAAGTTGTGATGGCCCATCCGATGCTTTTCCTTCTCATTAAATTGGGAAATTCCAAGATGGCGGGCAATGTACAGTTGAGTGCATTATCCGGACGGTTTGGATTTCTACCACGATCTAAGGACATTCGGATATTTTGTAGCATACTTATGTGGGTATATTAAAGCTTGGACTAAATCTTAATGGAAACTATCTATAATCAAAAATCTTTATACCTTTGTCCCTATACCCTTTCAGAGGGTATTGTAATTTTGGTCATAAGTGTGCAGCGCTGTGAAGAAATCTATAGAGTATCTATAAATCAATAAAGTATCTTCTTTATTAGGATCCCCCCTAAGATTCATTAATTATAAATCTGAAAATGTAAACACTCATACTTCCATTGCCTACTTTTAAGGGCGGCCACCAGTCTATTGCTACCGAAGAGTACAATTTTACCGTTATTTTGCGTATGATAACACCCCAAAAGATTCTTTAATTTGGCAACTATTCACAAAATAATTAAATAAAATTAAAAAATAATTAATTAAAAAACAGCGCCCTCCTCCTCGATTCTCATAGGTTGCACTTAAGCAGGCCAGGAAAATCGCGAAAATAGTTAACTTTTTTTTGTAAATTTTTTTTTTTTGTTAACTTTTTTTTGTTGTAAATTCTTGTTGTTGTTGTGTTTTGTTGTTGTAATGTTTTGTTGTTGTAATTTTTTGTTGTTGTTGTAATTTGTTGTTGTTGTAATTTTTTTGTTGTTGTAATGTTTTGTTGTTGTAATTTGTTGTTGTTGTTTTAATTTTTTGTTGTTGTAATTTTTTTGTTGTTGTAATTTTTTTGTTGTAATTTTTTTTGTTGTAATTTTTTTTTGTTGTAATTTTTGCTTGTAAATTTTTTTTTTTCATTTTTGTTGTAATGTTTTTTGCTGTTATATCCGACCATATCCCATAGCTATAGCCTCTTAACTTCCACAGTATATCAGCCTAACCTCCGTCCCAAGTAAGCTTTTCTTTCTTGTTTTTCTTACTTTTCTAGTTTCTACGCGGCCCGAAACTATAAAACTTTTCGCTTTTTTTCAACAAAAATGCGTCCAATTCTAAGCCCTAGTAGTTTTCGCTTCAAAAATCAATCTATATACTACCATTTTGGATTAATCCCAATCTTACCAATAACTTGCACTTCATAATAGTGACCCTCCAAGCCGAAATACATTACGAAAAGAAATGAATGCAAACAAATACCTAAAATTGTAAAATTTTGACTAAAATGATTGGAACGAATAAGGATACTGTTTAGACAAGGCCTCGGTTGTTCCCAAAATTAATAAAACGTAAAACACTCGATAATAAATTTGTTCTTTGTTAAATCTCATATATTAATCATATAAATACATTATTGAATTTGTTTGGTTTGGTTTTTGATTTGGTTTTTGGGTTTTTTTTCTCCTCCAGACATCGCTCCACTTTTTTTTTGGTTTTGATTTTGGTTTTTGGTTTGGTGAAAGAGTCTACTTTAATAATAATAATAATAATAAAAAAAAAGTATTATTACAATAACAGCATAACGTATAACGTAACTCAACTATCAAGGTAGATAGAATAGAACAGAAAATACATATTAATTAATTAAACGACTGATCCTCTCCAGGTGTTTGTATCTCTCTTCTGCACAAAATAATCCGCATCTATGGTATACATCTTTCTGTTTTTTTTCTTTTATTCCTCTTATTACTTGTTTTTTTTAGAGTGTAGGGGTTTTTTTTTATTTTTTGGGGAACTTTTAGGGGTATTTTCAGGAGATTCATGACCTGCCACAGGTGGGCAGATTAACCCGGAAGAACACGTTGAGTTCGATGAGGGAGGCGAAGACCATGAACACCAGATACATGACCAGGCAGGCGGTGCCCACCTTCTTGTCCAGCTTAAATTTGTTCGTGGAGAAGGTAAGGTAGAGCAGAAACAGTGTGGACAGCAGGGTTATGGCCGAGTACTCCAGTCCGGCCGAATTAATGGCCACATAGTTCTGACCAGGCTGTATTGGGAAGAAGACGGCCTTGATCAGCCACGGCACTCCCAAGCACAATAAAATATCAAATGTATTCGATCCGATCGAATTACAGATTCCCATTGATCCGTGACCTAATTAGAAGGGATTTGTATTAAAGATATAATATAATATATTTTTAAAATATATAATTTTTATAATTTGTATTAAGTTACCGCGTTTCGCCACAATCACACTGGAAACCGCCTCGGGTACACTGGTTCCAGCTGCCAGGAACGTAATACCCATTACAGAGTCGGGTATCTTAAGTGTATCACCTTAAAAAAAATTATATTTAAAATATAGTTATTATTTGAAAGACATATCCTTACCAATAATCGTTATCATCCACGCCACCACATAGGACAGGGATCCGATCCAGACGATGCACATGATAAAGGTCAGAGGGAAGATCTTATTGTTTTTGGCCTTCTTGCAATCGGGTATGGCGATGCGGAAGAGCAGGTGTATGGGCCAGATTATCAGCCAGGTGAACTGGGCAAAACAGCTCTTGTCCTTGGGATAGGTGAGCAGGGAGTATCCCTCCTCCTCCCGATCCTCGCCAGCATTTCCTGTCGTCGCTGTCGCCGGTTGGGCCTCCACCTCGGCCAGAGTATCCATAGGAGCTATAATTCCAGATCCTGTACCCGCAGCACTTGGTCCACTACCCGATCCACTTACGACACTGTGTGTGGTGGTGGTGATTGTGGACAAGGTGGTGGTGGTTGTTATCGAAGTGGTGGTGGTGGTGCCAGTAGTGCCGCCAGTGGACTTGGCCTGGTCATTGTTGAGTCCTCCGTTCAATTGGATGCTCGCCATGTTCTGGCAAATGCGATTTTCCACAAGTTCTAGTGAGGAAAATATGGTTTTAATTAATGGTTACTTAAAAAAAATATTTAAAAATTAAAAATAAAACCTATAGACTTTCATTTTCATATTTCTGCAAAATTTAGTATTTTTGCAGTATTTTTCGGTATTTCTTTCAGTACAATAAAAATAGACCATAAAGTACTGCCTGGGTTTACTTATATTTATTGTTTTTCTTAAGCATTTTTGGTTTAATCTTTTAAATCTTGAAAGATCCTTAAAAAAAAACATGTAAAATATTTAATTATACCTAAAAATGTATAAATTTATAGAAAATGTATAATTTTCATAGATATATAAGCTTAAAAAAAATAAAACTCAAAGTTCTTATGTTTCAATTTCTCCTGAACTTGAAGCTATATTCCTCAACTTTATGTTTACTTGATCTATTTATTTGTATTCCTAATGTTTTCAGTGTATTGTTGACAAGTTTTTGTTTATGTTTTGTAATGTTTATATATTTTTGTTTCAGTGTACCTGGTTCCTTTTCATTGCTGTTCTTTGTGTGAATGCTGCAGTTGGAGGACCGGCTGCGCGAACGCGCCTGTTTAACGCCACCTGTGTGTAATATTGTTTATACAGTGAGGACTCGCTATGTAAATAATGGTGTTAAGTATTGTGTTTAAGGAAAAACAGTTTACTATTTTTACCTTTACTAGTGTTTTGAGTAATTCTTCTTATTTTTTTTTTAATTGAACTTTTAAGAACCCTTACCTTTGGCGCATTTTTGGAAAGACTTGTCGAAATACATGACCGCCAAATAGACGGCGTACAGTGAAACCAAAATCAAGGCCTCATACCACTCGACCCGCTCGTCGTGCATCACACAAATCAGAATGGCCACTGTGACTCCATAGGCAATACTATCTCGGGTCAAAGGCCACCAATCCAAAGGTATAGTCTGGAATTATAAATATTAATAAGAATTATAGATATTATATTATAGAGATTCTTACCATTCCAGCTCCGATGCCGCAACAGGCGGCCACCGCCAGGATATTAAAGACGGCCGATCCCACAATCGTGCCCACTCCGATGTCGCCCTCCGTGATGAAGGTGCCTATCACGTTGACGAAGAGTTCCGGAGCGGAGGTGGCCGCTGCCATGAACGTGGCCCCCGCCACATCGTTGGACATGTTGAGTGCTGGTGTACGAAGGTGTTTAAAGGTAAGTAATATATATATAATTGGTGAGGATTAGGGTTTAGAAATAGGATAGAGGTCAGCCGCTAACGGACAAAGAACATGGATAGCTGGGTGAATTATTTATCCGACAAATTGACAAGTTTAAGATATATATAAATAATATTTAATATTTAATATTTTTAATATTTAATATTTTTAATATTTAATATTTTTAATATTTAATATTTTTAATATTTAATATTTTTAATATTTAATATTTTTAATATTTAATATCTTACCTGCACATATTTTCTCAACTGCTGGCACAAAGTACTCATCACACACTACGGCTAAGGCTACGAATAAATATAAACTGGCTATAACATGAAGTACAACAGCACCGGACTGTCTTTGCGCCTCCGAGAACAGGTCTCTGGGGAAGTCATCGATGGCGGGCTGAGTGCAATTTATATCTGTAAATCACAAATCACACATACACAAGCACATTAATTAACATCACATTATAATATAATGTTGCCTACTTATCAGATAACAAAAAAAAAATAAAATTAAAAAAATATATATATATCTATTTATTCTTAGTTGGCCTCAAAGGCGATTACATCAATTGGTTAGATCAATTATCCTATGATTGTTCAATTGTCGCAATTATTTTCTAAACCGTTGACCGCGATCCTCCAATCAATTATCAAAACATTTGATACATTTGATGGATCGTTTTTTTTTTTTTAAATTAAAATAATAATTTAGGTAACTTAGATAATGGAATAATTATTAAATCACTTGATCGCACATTTCATGGTGTTTGAAATTTTTGATTGGTGCTTTCACGAAAGCCACCACACTTCGTCCACTCAAAAATGGAGAAAAGAAAGCCCGTATTTTCCTAGAATTTTCCACGACTTTTCGCGTTTTCTGTGTCGAAGTCAAGCGCCGGTAATGAACTGAAAGTGCGGTGCTGCAAGAAAAACCACAAGACTGGCTGTGCGATCGGAATCGGAACCCAAGGAATCGACGGCTCAAAACAGAAGCCGAAATAGAAACTGCACGAGATACAGATACAATCATACACACATATGTATGTGCCCCTCAGCTTCAGATATACAGATACAGATACAAATACATATGCAGCTGCAGATATACTACGATTATTACAGAAGTGTGTGTCAAATATACGAAGCCCGAAATACGAAGTCTCGCTTTCTTATTATTACTATTATTATTACTATTTGGGGCGACCATCCCCTCGACCATGGTGATCAGCATAGTAGTAGTTGTAGTCGTAGTACTTAGTAGTACTTGATCATCGATCAAATATGTGACAAACCTCTCGGACTAGCGATCGCCAGCGGAAGCGATAAATACGCCTTTGATGTCATCAAATTGAATTGCAAAACAACACAAAACTGAAGCCGCAAACAGAAATTGAAACTGAAACCGTAACTGATAATTTAAAAAAAAAAAGTGTTATTCGAACCAAGAACGATTCTAAAAACAGATCTATTTGGGAATTTTTAAAACAGATTCACTTGAAAATAATTTTTATAGAAGTACTTGAAGTACTAGACGGACAAACGGTCAAAAAAAGGAGCATTTATAGGCTTTGGATATAGATAATTAAATTTCTTATACATTTTGTTAATAATAAAGTAAAACTTGTAACCAAAATACCCTCTAGAATTCAAGAAACATACCTCTATTTATACGGACACGCGGACAGATAAAGAAATGGTCACACTATTTAATAGAAATCAAACTACTAGCTTTTCTCTACTACTAGAAAATAAACTTTTCCATTGTAAGTAATATTTATTTCTCAAATGTATTTTTTCAATTTCATTGATGATTTCCAGGTGCAGCTTAAGTCTGATACCTGGAGATCCCATATACCCCATATGTGTAGTATACCCATTCCAAATAATAAATACCAGAGAACTAAAACAAGAAGCGGTGCCGACTTGGAGCCGCAAATTGGAACAATAAATAAATGGCTGAGCCAACACAACACAACAGCTAAAGCCCATCCACAATAACACTCGTAATGTCAATCGATTGGGCGGCCTAACTTGATAGAGACATAGCCGACATAGCCGACATAGCAGTGGGGAACTGTAGATGACCGTAGGTCGAGATATATTCAATAATTAGATAGCTTGGACGGTACGATATAGTAATCAGTGAAGCATATGAAATGCCATTGTACAACTGATCCAATCAAATGAATTGGGGTCTTTATGTCGATGTTTTGAATAGTTGATTAAATCATAGAATTATTGTAAAGGTTTTTATAATCGATAATTATCGATATTGTATGTTTATTAAAGAATAAAAGCAAATAAAGAGCCTAGATTGTCTAGATTTACTATGTCTACTTTTAAAGAACTTTTACTGTTTATAGTTCCCTATAGAAGACCTTAATAATTCCAAACAATTTGCATAAATATCGATAAATAATCGACAAGATATGATTGCTTATTTATGAGTCGAAGCCATTGACTTTGGCATGTGGCATGTCTCGGAGTTATGGGGCATGCATGGGGCACGACTGTAAGTGATATGTAAAGTCTTGGAGAGTCATGGGAGTTGCCCCTGAAGGGAACTATAAGGGGGCTATCTGAGGGAGTCTGGGGTCAATTGAGACAAACGCATTTTGTAACCGTCAACCCGCATAATGCAATAATGCTTAATCAACACTTACAGCGTTCGCTTTGGACAGAATAAATAAAAGAAAGAAAAATATTTAATAAATAAGGAGATGGAAGGAGAGGTTGGCTGGAAGGGAGGGTGGTGGTGGTGCAGCTGCTGTTAATGATAATCAATTTAGTGTGGATAACAATCAGCAAAACATTCAATCACGGTAAATTAAGTTCACTTTAATTGAATGGGCGGCGCATAAACAGAAAGCCGTATCGAATGTGCCTGCAAAACAAAAGCTAACCAGGAATTTTGGGAGTTTTATTTTCTAAATGGTAATTTAATATTTTTAATCAATAAACTAAGGATTCTAAAAGAAAAGACTTTGAAAGAAGAGGGCCATTGTTTAAAAGACTAAAAATGGGTTTTAAAGTATGGCTTTAATGATTAATACAAATATTAAGGCTATTTATGGTTTTAAAAAACTTTAAAATGCTTAGAAAAATAAGGAAACTACTATATTTTATTTTTGGTATAGTATATTCTATATATTAATTAAGTATTAGATGTTAGAATGGGTATAATTCATTTAAAATTGATTTATGAACTTTGTTTGAATTAAAAACCTTGTCTTTAATAAGTTATGTTTTACTTAAATTATTCTAGACTATTTAATTATTCATAAATATATACATTTTTTATAGAAAAAGAATATTTTAAAACTATAAATAAACTTAAAAACCTTAAAACCAAACAATTTATGAAAACTTTGTTTTTAAAATCCAAAAAACTTTCTAAAACTGTAAACTTTGAATAAAATACGATAACTTTACAATAAAAACTAGCTTTTAACATTTAACTTATGACAACATTTTTTAATAATAGTTCCTTTAAAACTTAAACAAAAAGAAGTTAAATAACATGCGACTTTGGCTAGGTGACTGCATATTACGTATCCGCCTCGTTGTCGCAATTGTTTCTTTCGTTTTTTTTTTCTTTTCGTTTTATTTAAAAACGACTTGACCGCCCACGAAAATATATGTATATTCCTTTAATATATATATATATATATATATAGTTATCTTATATATATACATATATAGCAGGGAGATTTCTATGCCCATATGTAAGTTCATTTTCTGTACATAAGTAAGGAAAATCAGTGCGACAATGCGTTTTAATATGACTTTTGTGTTCCGTTTAAAAAATATTTTAGCTCAGCCGATCAACGCGGATATATCTCTCACTGTTTGTGTCTGTGTACGGCCATGTGTGTGTGTTTGGTGACTTTGTATGGGTGTATTCCATTTTTAGTTAGTTAGTCTTACTTGAGAGGCTGTGGCTCTGTGGCTCTTTTATGTTCGGGTTTACCTGCACCCCAGTCAATATTAAAAAAAAAAAAAAGGAAAAAAAGGTCAAAGATTTAATTTGTTTATTTTCACTAGATTCGACTTAATTATTTTTTGTTTTGACAGCTAGTTTGTTTTGACTTTACGCTTGATTTGCTGGCTCACAAAAAGGTATTCGATTACGATTCTAATCGCCAGCTATTCGATTGCACATTTGTTTGTTCGATTGTCCAAAAAAAAAAGAATTATTTTTGATTTTTTTTTTTTAGGGAAAGCATGCGTCTAGTCAAAATATTGCGTATACGCCGCATGGTACCATTGGTGGTGTAGAGCTAATAGAGTCATAAAAAAAAGACTTCAACTTAAAAATAGCTAAATAAAAAAAAAAAAGGAAAAACAGACAAGCTGGGCACAGTTTTTTATTGTTGCTGTGCATAGTAAATGTCATTAAGATTCACTTAATGAGCCAATTTAGACAATTGATCCATATGCCTTAGTTTACGCGCACACACACACAGCCACACAAAGGCACACTCTTCTACACACATACATATGTACATATATACATATAGGTGTATATATATGTATATAAGGTATATGTATTTGTGAGATCGTGAGCCAAGCGTGCAGAATAAAAAAGTAAAAAAAAAAAAAACAAAAAACAACAATGTTTCATTCTAACCGACGACGATGTCGGCGATATCGGCTAAGCTTTGGCTTTAGCTTTCAAAGTATATCAATGTATATGTAAGCCCATTATGACGTCACACACTCACACACAAAACACAGACACACTCATACACTGACACACGCATACATTGTATGTACATAATTGCATTGCATTTAAAATTATTCCATTTGGTTCGGTCTTAATTGATTTATTAAATTTTTGTTTCTTCTTTTGCCGCCGCTGGCGCCGCCACACAAAACATTAAAAACAACAGAACAGAAAAAAAAATAAATTTTTATAATTTAATTTGCATAATCTCTAATGAATGGGTTTTTGTGTTTCTTTTTGTTGTATTTTTATAATTAAATATTTAGGTTTTTTGAAGTTTATTTTTTCTTGTAAAGGATTAGTTATTTGGTTATTAAATTATTAATTATTTTTATAGTTTAGTTTAAGGTTTTTTTTATTTTTTTGGTTTTTTTTTTTTTTGGATTGATAATGTACCCGTAGTGCTGCTAAGACCCCAATAGTCTTCCATTGCTGCACGGTGTTCGGTGTTGTAGTGGTGATGGACACTCGTAAACTGCGATGCGCCGTTGTATGAACCGCAATCTCAATCTCAATCTCAATCTCTGTCACTTCCCACTTCACTGGTGTTGATTTTCTCGTTGCTCTCGTTGTTCCTTTCTTTTCCTTTGCCTTTCCTTTCCTTTCCCTGCCTTTCCTTGCCTTCCTTTTCGTTTCCTTTCTATTCTATTCTATCCTCTTTCCTCTTCCTCCAAAGCCCCAAAAGAACACTTGAGGTGCGAGTGGGACAACAGGTGGAGGGATGTAGAGGGGGGCCGGTGATCAGTAGTGGGGTCTCAATTGGTCCGGAGACGGAGACGTAGACGGAGGTACGGAGATCGGATCCACAAGGCACGTAGTCCAAGTGGCATCGGTGGGCGGTGGGTTGATAGAAATGGAAGGAGATTAAGACGTAGACGGAGATGGTTGGAAGACCGGTGAGGAAGCCAATTGAAGCCGCACTCACACACACTATTAAAGCGGACAGCCGGACTCACGGACACAAAAGCAACGGACAGCACAGGCCCACACACCCACACAGGCACACAGCTCACGCCTCGGCGAGATGAACCTGCATTCCGATAATCCGTTTAATCTGTGAACAATGATATCGATAACAAACGATAACTTTTCCAGTAAAGCAGCAAAGATCATAAGAAATCTTGATTTTTAATCATGAATTTAAATAATCAAAAATAAGATAAGAAATGATGAAACTAAAATCTAAATTAAATTAAATTGCCGGCAAAAAAAGAAAAAAAAACAAAACAAGATCATACAAGGCTCGATGCTCGATGCAACAAGATGGCAGCAACATGTTCGCTAGTGACGTTGGCCATTTTGTTTTTTTTCTTTTTTTTTTATGATCAAAGCTGCTTAACAAAATGGAAGCTCAGAGAAAAGGAAAAGGAACAAAAGGCATGAAAGGCTTGCCTGGCTTGGCTATCTCTTTCTTCACACTCTCTCACTTATTTGGCAAGAAACAGATCCCGTTAAGAAGCGTTTCTCACTCTCTCTCTCTATTTTTTTTTTTGTTCGTTTCGTTTCGTATCGTTCCGGGCGCGCACTTCGCGTCTTATTCTTAAGCTCGTTTCCGTTTCCGTTTGCTGTCAAATATAAGCGCCTCTTTCTTTTCTTCTTCTTCCTCGCTTATTTTTTTTTTTTATAAATTTCTTTTGTAGATTTGTGAGTTTATGAATTTAGTTTATTTTCGTTGAGGGTTGTGTTGTTGTGTGTTATATTGTCTTGATGCCGCCGACGTTGACGTTAAACTGATTCTGAATCGGTGTTTGGAGCGCTTTAGTCCAAACCGAGCTCTGATTTTGTGTGTGTTTTTTTTTTTTACTAAGCTTGATTTGTTCTATAGATGTGTGTGTTAGTATGGGTGTGTGTGTGTGTAGCTCTGGGTTTGTGCAACAATAATACCGCTTAACTGACTTTTCGACTAATACCAGCAATCAGTGAAAAGCATGCTTTCATGCTAGTATTTGTACTTTTAGTTTTTTTTTTTGCTTTCTGTGTGCGCGGGTGCATTGTTCCCTCTATTTGTTGTTTTTTTTTTTACTATTTTATTTTTGTATTTAGCATTTGATTTTTTTTGTTAATTTCATTTTGATAGAGAAATGAGAGAAGATCGGTAAAGGTCAAGTCATGGAAGAGCGATCAACTAATTAGAGATAAGCGAAGACTCGTGCCATCGCTTTTTTGGGGCTTTTCGGGGCTTGGCACCTGGTTTTTTTTTTTATTTGTATTTCTATTTACCTTAATTAACCAGAAAAAAAAATAAATATATAATATTATTAGTCATTTACCCACGCAATGGTTTTATCGCAAAGAGCTGTCGGATATATCCGTCAAGGCCCCACATTTGTGGAGAAGGCTTCGCCAAACAATTTACGAGTCTGTTTAACTTTCAACATAGTTCCACCGATTTACGTGACATATCGTGCTGTTTGCTGTTTGCCCATCTCATCTGAGATATGTACTTAAATAATACCTAACTAAATACATACATACATACCTATGTATCTGTGCATCTTTGTATGCCGAGAGATATGAATGGATCAGACTAAACAGCCACTAATTGGACATGAGCGTTTTTAATTAAGCGACCATCTATTAAAATAGACAGTAGATCAGATGATTTCCAAAAAAGGTTCTATAGAAAAAGATATGTATACCAGGTACTAGGTAGATGAGTATATAGATTCTAGAAAAAACCTAATAAACCTCGACAAGACTTTTTCTTATCAACTATATATATAGACTATAACTATTGAATTTTCACTATCGGTTGACAATGAAAATGCACTTCATAGACAATTTCTAATTGCTGAAAAATTTCATTGATTGTTTTGATTTCTGATTTACAAAACACGCGCAAGTGTTACCTATAGGCTTTTAAAGATAAAGCCACCGCCCTTGTTAGCAAAACTCTCCTTGTGGTCTAGGTCCTTAATGGGACATGATTTGTATATTTTTTTTTCAACAGAATTAAGGATTTTTTCATTTCATTCGTCACATGATAACTTTAACAATTAAAACTAGGAATTTCTCATCATCGTCTCCGCCATCATCTTTCTCAAGCAAATGCCATCTATGTACACAAAAATAGAATAATAAAATAAACACATTGGATTGTAGAATGGTGTATAAATTGTGTGTGTGTGTGTATGGCGTGTGTTGGCCAACATAAAAATAAACTTGGAGACGAATTAAAATTAAAGATTGGACTAAGCAAAGATTGGATTAGAAATTCAGTGACATCGTCGTCACTCGATCAGTTTGGCATGCCCACGCCCTGCTGGAAACCGAGCGTCTCCTGTTGCTTCTTAACCTCGTCCTGCATCTCGAGGGCCAGTTTCTTGTACTTCTCCGCCTCCTTTTCGTTCTTCTCGATGCCATCGCCTCGGGCATACATCTGGCTAAGATTGGCGCAGGCATACATGTTGCGTAGTTCGCAGGCCTTTCGCGAAAACTGGAACGCCTTCTTCATGTCCTTAAGCACAATATAATCGGAGTCATTGAGTTGGCTTTTGCCACCGACCGGCAATCCACTGCTGCCGGGGACATCACTTGTGGCCGCACCAGCTGACGAGGTACTTTCCGGTTTCTTTTGTACTCCCGAAATGTGCATGCCGGATAGATAGAAACAGGCGGTGGCGTTGTTCATGTCACAGCTCTTGGTAAGAAATTCCAGGCCCTGCAGGACACAAAAAGGTTAATCAGTAAACGTGTGCATTTAGAAAGTAGTTTAGGGAAGTAACCTTGGCAACATCTCTGTCGATCTCCTTGGGCATGGATCGGGAAACGAGCAACAGGCCCGAGTGGAGGCAGGCATCCGAATCGTTTAGTTTGCAACCCTTCTCGTAGTACTGATACGCCACCTTGGGATCACCCTTGCTGCCACTTTTTCCCTTGCCAAGGAAACTGTAGTTGCCGAACTTGTAGCATGATTTTGCGTAACCGTAGTCATCGCACGTCGACTTGTATACCTTCGATGCCTTCTCAAAGTCCTTCTTGATACCCTCCAGATAGTCGCCCAGCAGGTGGCAGGCTACAAAAAATGAAGATTCGAATTCTATTATTTCAGGTCGTGATTTGTTTTGTAATTCGGTTATATGTACATATGTATGAGGGGAGGGGAAACCTAGGTTATAGCGGTCTGGTGATTGGTGTTGCCGTTGTATCGGCCCTTACCTTCCGGCTTTTTCTCCGAATAACAGCCGAACCGGTATTCCACGCCCAGCTTTTCGATATACTCCTTCACCTCGGACTCCTTTTTGAGGTCGTAGGCCATGTTAAGTGATTTTTTAATAGACAAACCAGCCGGGGAAAATATTATGCCTCGTCCTCTGCTTGCTGTCTTCTTCTTCCACCTCTTGCTCTCAGAGATGGTAGCAACAGCGATAATTCGGTGGTCAATGAATCGATTTTAATACGCATTTAAAACAAAGGCTGTTAAAGATTAAAAAAAACTGCCAAAGATTAAAAAAAAAAATTGCGAAAACTATTAATTTTGTTGCATTTTTAATTTTAAAGATAATTTGTTTGTAAAAAAAACAGTAGTGTTGGAAAAGGAACCCTGTATTTATCGATAACTTGCATGACTTACAGTCTCTCATCTTTTTGAACATTTACCTATCTCTAACTCTTGACGCACTACTGGAAAAATTTTCGGACAAATTCCTCCTGTTTTTTTTTTGTTTTCCGCGTCCCCCATTGCCGTGAACCACCCGATGCGAATCCCTGCCGAACGCCCAGGATCCGGTGAACAGCCAGAGGTAGCACAATGAGCACAAGGAGCAGGACAAGGAGCGGTCCGACGCTCAATTTCAAGGCAGTGCTGCTGGGCGAAGGTAAATCTAATTAGCGATAAATAAATACTATATGTACGCCTACAATTATTATCAATAAATTCCATAGGATGTGTTGGCAAGACATCGCTGGTGCTGCGCTACATGGAGGATCGCTTCAATTCGCAGCATCTTAGCACCTTGCAGGCGTCCTTTGTGACCCGGAAAGTCAACTTGGATGATGGTCGGAAGGCGCAACTGAATATCTGGGATACGGCCGGACAGGAGCGATTCCATGCCCTGGGCCCCATCTATTATCGTGGCTCGGATGGCGCCCTACTCGTGTACGACATCACCGATCAGGACTCGTTCCAAAAGGTGAAATCCTGGGTGCGGGAACTGCGTCAAATGCGCGGCACAGACATCGCTCTGATCATCGTGGGCAACAAGACTGACCTGGAGGAGCAGCGTGCGGTGATGCACCAGGAGGCGACGCAGTATGCCCGGACCGTAGGCGCCCAATATGTGGAGACCTCGGCCAAGGAGAACGAGGGTGTGGCCGAGCTATTCGAATTACTGACCCAACTGATGCTCGAGCAGCTCAGTCAGCGCGAACCGGACTCAAGTCCGTTGCGACTACAGAGTCTCGATACCGATGCCTTAAGCATTTCAGAAGAAGCAGAGTCGGAGGGTCAGGGTGATCCGAATACCAACGGCAACCACCGCTCCTGCTGCGGCATATGATGATCGTCGCATATGGCCGGCCCTATTGTGATAGTAATCATAATTATGTACTTGTAGTAGACCTGTAGCGGATGTTCATCTTGTATATATTTATATATTTACTTCTAGCATGTGTGTTTCTGTTATCCAAATATGTAACCCTAGCTCCTAACATACATATATGTATATGTTTTTTTTTTTGTGTTAATTCTCGTCACTATATGTTCTCTAAATTGTAGCCCATAGAGGGCTTTCTTTTGGCATCTATTGTATGAAAATTAAAAGTTTTGCCATTTCGGACATTCTAGATACGATTTGCTGAATTCTTTGTGTGCGCCAAGCAATAAATTATCTTGTACTTGCACTTATCTGGCACTCAGTTGTATATATACAAGAATTATATGGTTGGAGGAGGGCCGACTTATAGCTGAATCAGCTTTCTTAATATGGACTCCGAGATAAAGTCGGTGGAGTATTTTTGGAAGGAGAACGATGTTCTCTATAATTTATATTATTATTTTCAATTATATCTAATAACTGGTACTATATTATATTATAATATATATTTTTAATTCCCTTAAACTACTGTTTTAGTTCTTAATCCCCTAAGTTGATTGATCACCTTCGCTTTAACACCATCGCTAAATTATTGGTTTTGTAGTGTTTGTTTGGATATTCCATATTCCCAATTGACAGGAAAATTGAATGATAATTATTGGCCCAATCCACTTAGCTCTAATGATGGCTCATTTCGTCTCCCTTTCGCATTATTTTCAGTGTATTTGTTATTCTGTTTCCACTCCACTTTAAGAGTGTGTGTGTTTCATGACAATGTGCCATTAATTTTGATGGCAGGACATCGGGGGAATATGCATTAGTATAATTGATGGAGATTTCTCTGCACCACTGCAATTAGGCGGGAAAATTGGTCAACAAAGTCACAGAAAAGCCACAAAGTCCGAAACGATTGGAAAACTAAGTTATCGCGTCAAGTGTACCTTTTCTCACCTGTTTGTTTTTCCACAGGGTATGTTTTTTTCCAACTTTTTTTTTTTGTTAATTTTGCAATTTTCCCACAATTTCCATAGGCTAGCTTTTATTTGGTTTTCATTTGCGGCCGAAGCATGAAGCTAGTACTGAACCTGGTCAGGACTTTCCTGGTATATGGTTTTCTGGTGATATTTACGGTGCTTAGCCGGACACTGAAACGATGTCTGGATATCACACACTCATTGGTCATATAATGGTACTAATTATCAAGCAAGGAGCAACAGGAGGACTAGAAAAAGGAGGAGGAGTACTATGAGTACTATGAGACAGGTGGTCAGCTTTATCGCTGGGCCTCAATAATCTGGCCATCGCATTATTTACCCAACTACCCAGCTAGGAGTGTGAGTTGGAATTATGAGTTTCCTGAACTTATCGGCCGGGCAATCAATAATGCCAGGTCTTATCGCCCTCGCACTTTTCTCCAGGGTAACACAAACTATGATTACAGTGGAGACTGCCAGCCAAGGAAAGGTGAGTAAATGGAAGTTTAAAAAAATCATATTTTATTATTTATAAATTTATTAAAATTATACAATTACAAAATACAATATGATATTAAATTCTATGGGTGGTAGCACACTCTTATAATATTTTCTAATGAAATATTTTTATATTTTTTTATTTCCCAAATAGTTTAATATTTCAAAATTAAACTATTGAAATATATTAAATTTCTCAAAGAAAATTAAGTTTTTATTGTCAAACTTTAAAAAATGATCTCTTGTCTTCTTGAAATAGTTCATAATAATTAATTTCTAGACCAGGAGAAGACACTCTTATTTAAGTTAATTAATAAAAGGCCCACAAAATTAATGACAATAGCTACACATTAATAACATTTTCAATAAAACATTACACTGACAAGACAATTTATTGAAATTATAAGAACATAAATTATTAGAACAATTAATGAATATTTCTTTATAGCCAGTCTTCACTGTGGCTGAGCGAGCGACGGGCGGTCGTTATCTGACCGCCGCGGGCACATGTCGATGGCTGTTCGATCGAATCGGTTGCTCAGCGGTTCCCGGATACCGCTGCTCTTGCTCCTGGTCCTTCTAGCCGGCACACTTCTCATCGTCCACCGTGTCTCCCGCTCACCGATCCTCAATCAGTACACGATCCTGCGCGACCATCTGGAGCAACATCCATCCACCGGCTCCAATTCACGCACCATTCTCATTTGGAATGAATTCTTCGGGGATCCACGCTGGAAACTATCCTGGGACACTCTGGGTCCGCAGGAGCTGCACGATGAACTCCGGTGTCCAGTCTACACCTGTGAGTTGAGCAACAAACACGACTATCTGCCCAGTGTGGACATGTACGATGCCATTGTCTTCCATGCCGCCGAAATGTATCCCATTCTTAAATCCATTCCTTCGCAACGGAGTCCCCACCAAGCCTATGTCTTTGCTTTGATGGAACCACCCGGCGAGACGAAGCATCGGCTGGACGATGAGGTTGGTTTCTACAACCTAACGATGACCTATCGCCTGGATTCGGACATTGTGTGGCCCTACGGTCAGTTGGTGGACACGGAAACGGATCTGGTGGTGGCTCCCAGTTCGAATCCTCACTGGAGGAAACCCCCAACTGGCTATAATAAATCGGAAATTTGGAATCTCTGGCCTGGAAAGACGAAGACGGCTGCCTGGTTTGTTTCCCATTGCCAGACACTGTCCAAGAGGGAGGTCCTGGCGGAGAAACTGAAGGAATTCTTTACGGTAGATATTTATGGAAAATGTGGAACCCTCAGGTGAGTTTTTGGAAAAAGTTTTTTAAAAATACGTCATTAGTTTTATTTCTAAAATTTTGAAATCTGAAGGAGAAAGGTTTGGAAATTTTTATAGATTTTTGAAAAGTATCCTAAACTGTCCTAAAAGAATACAGTTCCTTAACAAACTAGTCTCATATTTTAAGGATAGTTCTAATTTTCAAGATATCTTTTTTTAAAAACTTAAAAAAAATCACAGAAACCTCAAAAATTTCTTTAAAACTTAAAAAAAACCCTCAAAACTTTAATATTCCAGTTGCGCTCGCGGAGATCCTTATTGTGATGAGATGCTGGACACGGACTACCTCTTCTATTTGGCCTTTGAGAACTCCATTTGCGATGACTACGTTACGGAGAAGTTGTACTCTGCTCTACGGCGTAACATTATACCCGTGGTGTTTGGTGGAGCGGATTACTCCAGAATACTGCCACCACACTCGTATATCGATGCCAATCAGTTCGAGACTGTGGCCGACTTGGCCCTCCATATGAACTATGTGGGCGGGGATCCGGCCGAGTATGTTAGCTACTTTTGGTGGCGGGAACACTATAGTTTGGCCAGCAAATCACCATTCTGTGACCTCTGCGCCCGCCTGCATGACCCCGCCTTTAAGTACAAGTCACAGGTGTACGGTGACATACAGTCCTGGTGGTTCAACAGTTGTCGACTGAAGAGTGGCATTCAATTGTGAAAGAATTTCTCCATTCGAAATGGAAAGAGACAGCTTTATGGACAGACCACCAAACCGAATGAAATGGCCTGTGACGGGGGAAATAGTCTGCAATTTCTCTCTAACCGGGGATTTGGTTTGTTTTCGTTTCCGTGGGATTACATATATACCTAGGTCCCCACCTAGGTGACATGTCAAATTGACAACCAATCCCCGATATTTGTGTTAAGTATGCGCCGATAAGATAGTGCCGCCCAAACCCATTGTGTATATACGTTTAATTTGGTCTAATGTGTTGCCGTGACTCACATGGCCGGCTCTTAATTACGATCTTTATCACCAAAAAATATAAGTCACAACAAATACAAGAACACACACACCTGTTAGTCAGTTTTATCGGAAAGGGCCTGGATACAGGGCAATCATTCACCTCTGACATAAAATCAAATATAAGTTATCTATTGTATATTTAAGGCTTAGGAATAAGTATACATTTATTATAAAACGTATGAAACTAAATAGTGCCTTTAATTTAATTCTTTAAAGTGAATTATTCTTGTCGGGGCTACCTTAAATACTTTTTAGTTATATTTCCAAACGATCTGCCTGAAAATCTGAGCCTCAAAATCCAGGTTTTCCTCAAGAGGCCGCTACCTAAGGGCTATATCTCTGGGTTAAGGGCTTAACCTAAGGGTTTAAGGAATACCTTAAACGACTTTTACACCGATTCCCCACCAATCTGCAATAAAATTTAAGAAAACAATGAAATGCTTAGTGTTTAAGCATTGAACTATACAAATTCCAAAAATAGAGCGTTTAGATGCGTTTTCGCTTAGATGGCACCCATCAAAATACGTGATGAACAGCATGTTCTAAAACCGATTACCTTTAACCCAAACATATGCGTTGATATGCGTTGATAAATAATTTTAATAGATTTAAAATTTTTATGTATTTTTGTTTTTAGAGAATTGTACAAAACAAAAAAAAAGTTTCGAAACGGAACTCATGGGAGTAATACCAGAAATTATTGGGGCTTCCCTTAACATTTAGATTTTTCTTATCCGATTCTCAAGGGGAATAACTTAAACAATTTGTGGATTAAATTCCTATTGATTTCCATAAAAATCTGAAGACGAAATATTTGTTAAATTTTTTCCCCATTTTTGTGGGGAGACCCCTGCAAAATCCCGGATTTCCACCTAGGGCCCCTTACAGAGGCCATAAATCTGCCAATTCTTATCCGATTCTCAAGAGGAATACCTTAAACGATTTGTGGAGTGATTCTGAACTAATCTGCATCAAAATCTGGAGACGAAATATTTTTTGGATTTTTTTCCATTTTTTGTGGGGAGACCCCTGCAAAATCCCGGATTTCCATCTAGGGCCCCTGCCAGAGGCTATATCTCTGCCAATTCTTATCCGATTCTTAAAAGGAATACCTTAAACGATTTGTGGATCAATTCTGCATCAAATTGCATCAAAATCTGGAGACGAAAAATTATTTCGATTTTTTCCCATTTTTGTGGGGAGACCCTGCAAAATCGCGGATTTCCACCTAGGGCCCCTTACAGAGGCTATATCTCTGCCAATTCTTATCCGATTCTTAAAAGGAATACCTTAAACGATTTGTAGATCAATTCTGCATCAAATTGCATCAAAATCTGGAGACGAAATATTTTTTGGATTTTTTTCCCATTTTTATGGGGAGACCCCTGCAAAATCGCGGATTTCCACCTAGGGCCCATGCCAGAGGCTATATCTCTGCCAATTCTTATCCGATTCTTAAAAGGAATACCTTAAACGATTTGTGGATCAATTCTGCATCAAACTGCATCAAAATCTGGAGACGAAAAATTATTTCGATTTTTTCCCATTTTTGTGGGGAGACCCCTGCAAAATCCCGGATTTCCATCTAGGGCCCCTGCCAGAGGCTATATCTCTGCCAATTCTTATCCGATTCTTAAAAGGAATACCTTAAACGATTTGTAGATCAATTCTGCATCAAATTGCATCAAAATCTGGAGACGAAATATTTTATGGATTTTTTTCCCATTTTTATGGGGAGACCCCTGCAAAATCGCGGATTTCCACCTAGGGCCCATGCCAGAGGCCATATCTCTGCCAATTCTTATCCGATTCTCAAGAGGAATACCTGAAACGATTTGTGGACCAATTCTGCATCAAACTGCATCAAAATCTGGAGACGAAAAATTATTTCGATTTTTTCCCATTTTTGTGGGGAGACCCCTGCAAAATCCCGGATTTCCATCTAGGGCCCCTGCCAGAGGCTATATCTCTGCCAATTCTTATCCGATTCTCAAGAGGAATACCTGAAACGATTTGTGGACCAATTCTGCATCAAATTGCATCAAAATCTGGAGACGAAAAATTATTTCGATTTTTTCCCATTTTTGTGGAGACCCCTGCAAAATCCCGGATTTCCACCTACGGCCCCTGTCGGAGGCTATATCTTTACCAATTCTTATCCGATTCTTAAGAGGAATACCTTAAACGATTTGTGGATCGATTCTGCATCAAATTGCATCAAAATCTGGAGACGAAATATGTTTTAGATTTTTTTCCCATTTTTGTGGGGAGCCCTCGGCAAAATCCCGGATTTCCACCTAGGCCCCCTGCCAGAGGCCATATCTTTACCAATTCTTATCCGATTCTCAAGAGGATAACCTTAAACGATTTGTGGAGTGATTCTGCACTAATCTGCATCAAAATCTGGAGACGAAATATTTTTTGGATTTTTCTCCATTTTTTGTGGGGAGACCCCTGCAAAATCCCCCCTGCAAAAATGTGGGGAGACCCCTGCAAAATCCCGGATTTCCACATAGGGCCCTGGCAGAGGCTATATCTCTGCCAATTCTTATCCGATTCTCAAGAGGAATACCTTAAACGATTTGTGGAGTGATTCTGCACTAATCTGCATCAAAATCTGGAGACGAAATATTTTTTGGATTTTTTTCCCATTTTTATGGGGAGACCCTTGCAAAATCGGGGATTTCCACCTAGGGCCCATGCCAGAGGCCATATCTCTGCCAATTCTTACCCGATTCTCAAGAGGAATACCTGAAACGATTTGTGGACCAATTCTGCATCAAATTGCATCAAAATCTGGAGACGAAAAATTATTTCGATTTTTTTCCCATTTTTGTGGGGAGACCCCTGCAAAATCCCGGATTTCCATTTAGAGCCCCTGCCAGAGGCTATATCTCTGCCAATTCTTATCCGATTCTTAAAAGGAATACCTTAAACGATTTGTGGATCAATTCTGCATCAAATTGCATCAAAATCTGGAGACGAAATATTTTTTGGATTTTTTTCCCATTTTTGTGGGGAAATATTACGAGTAACCCCTGCAAAATCCCTGCGAGTAACCCCTGCAAAATCCCGGATTTCCACCTACGGCCCCTGCCAATGGCCATATATTTGCCAATTCTTATCTGATTCTCAAGGGGAATACCTTAAACTATTTTTGGATCGATTCTGCATCAAATTGCATCAACATCTGGAGACGAAATATTTTGTCGATTTTTTTCCCATTTTTGTGGGGAGACCCCTGCAAAATCCCGGATTTCCACTTAGTGCCCCTGCCGGAGCCTATATCTTTACCATCTCTTATCCGATTCTAAAAAGGATTACCTTAAACGATTTGTAGATCGATTCTGCACTAATCTGCATTAAAATCTGGAGAATAAATATTTTAAAGATTTTTTTCCAAACTTTTGTGGGATGTTTTTGTATGTATTAACATTACATCAAGAAAAAAAGTATTTTTTTTCAATCTGACGTTAGTTATTCTAAGTCCTTGATAAAATCCTTATGTGTTTATCCTATATGGCCTATATGGTCTGTATCTTATTCTTTTTGTATCCTTTTTCTAGCGGAATAGCCTTGACGATTTGTTGCTCGTGTCAATCGGCATTAAACTGTCACTTTGGAACCTTGTGCTTTTGAATTCGCAGTGCCAGCGAGTGACGAGTAACGGCATCCAGGGCTGAATGCGAGTCCCTGGACATGCGCAGATGGAGCTTGCGCTGCCAAAAAGCATTCCAAATGTCAAGTGTCAAATGCCGCCGTGACGTAGATGACAGCGAGCATTGTTTTTGTGCCAGCGGGCATCGATTCGGCCTCGCTCTCCCTCTCTCTCGCCCATCTCGTGCACTCTCTCACTTTCGCTACAGTACCACCCCCCCACCCTCCCAACCACCCACCCAGAACTTCCGTTATTTAGCTGGCGGGGGAGCCAAAGCTTTTTGGAGCTATAAATATCCCGCAGGAAGAACAGGATGGCGATAGGCGTGCGTCAGCTGGGCGAGAGGCTATGAGGAAACGTGCTTTCGCTCGAGCTTTATGCATTAAGCTTTTGAAGGATAACCGCTCGGTCGCGGTCGGCGTCGCTGCTAGCAAAAAGCACTTCCTATGGAATTTCGTGACATTTTATTCATTCTGTGCTAGATTTCCCGATAGTTCAAATCAGAGGTAAACCGACATATAATACGAGAATTACGAAGCGAACGCCAAAAATCTTCCCAAAAAAAAAAGAAAGAAAAACCCGAAAATAACAATTAGAATTATTAAACTTACAGTTATATATTAATTACAATTTTTTTTCTACGTTTTATCCCCTCCTCCCCACTAAAAGAAAAGTGGCAACTAAACGAAAAACCGAGTGAAACGGTTACCTTTTTTTTATTTGCTGGCCATGTCGAGTTGAGGTTCTCTTTCGAGATAAAAGTGCGCAAGAGTGAGACGTAAGTTGCATAATTTCCATGACTAACGGTAAAATAAGGAAATCGCGAAAAACCCTAGGACATTTACAGTTATTTTTTAGTGTTCAAGTGCAAGTGAAATAATAAAGATTCTAATTGAAAATTATTAAAAAATATATATATATATATGTATATGTATGAAAATAATCGGAAAACTCGTGGCCTCTGTATCCATACATACATATTAACTTGGCTTAAGTGCATGTGTATGAGTGTATGAGTGTCTCTGTGTGTGTGAGTGAGTGAGTGTGCGTGGGTGCTTTCTTCTTCTTGCGAATCTAACTCTATCTCGCTTGCTCTTTGGCCAAAAAGTGTGTCTCTGAATCATCGATTTTTCGCCCCCCCACCCCACACCGTCCTCTCAAAAAGCAACAACAACAAAAACAACAAAAGAAACGCTTAAAAGGAAAAGAAGCTAAGAAGAAGAGGAAGAATCAAAGGTACTACTGGCCCTTATTTTGTCAAAAAGGGGTGGTGGGGGAGGGAGGCGTATTATCTATCAAGAGTAGAATGTACCTATTTCGTCCTTCAAGAATGGAAAAAAAAAAAACTTAAAGAACGTGTTCAATATCAAGATCAAATAACTTTTACTTTGGCTTTTAGCCAAGTTTATATATATTTGAGAGAGGGTGGGCTCTAGGTTATTAAGGCTTAGAAGAGCTTTCAATAGCCTATTTATTTAAAAAAAGAACAGTTATATATATTCCATATAAGCCATAATATTCACATATTTTTTTAAAATAAAGTCCACCCTTTTAATAAACAAGATCAGAGATAAAAAATGCATAAATTTCATGAAAATGTAAATAAAAGTTATCTTGAAAAGAATAAATATATCGTTGCCTACTTCTTGGGGCAGGCGCACACTTTTCCGCCCTTTTCCCCCCAACAGACACAGAGCTTTAGGCCAGAGCCGTAAGCGCGACAGAGTGAGAGCGAGTGGAAAAAGCTTTTGGTAAAAGTTTATGTATAGGTACACAATTGAGTGGAAGCGAGACAGCGTCATGATATATGTATGTGTGTACTTTCTTTTTTCTTCACTCTCATGCAATTTTTCATTAGGATTTTCGCTAAAAAAAACCCAAAAAAACTGAAATATAAATTTTATAAATTCGCCACATAAATAGATAATTTAATAAAATAAATAATAAGCAAGAGGAAAAGTGAGTTTATAGTTTAAGAATCAATTAAGAACCATCTTAAAAAATAGCCTTAAAAAATAACCCTTGATTTCTTATAGAGATATTTGTATGTGATTTTTATAATATATATAGAGCCGGTTTTGATTTCGTTTTCGTTTCTTACATAATCCTACCTCCGCTCCACCAAAAATAACAAGTACCATCCAACCTATAGATATACCATATATAATCCCCGATATCCAGATAGAAAAAAATACCAAAAAAAAAAAACCAAATAAAAATCCTACGTAGATGGCAGAAAAGTGCGACTCCCAGTGAGTAAGATTTACGTAAAAAAAACCTACATATTTGCAGACCGATCTCGATGTCTCCGCAATTAGATAATGCTTAAGCTACCAAAGGGTCTAAAAAAGAAAAAGAAGAAGTCGAAAAAGGATCAGGAGCTCTTCACCGAGGAGGAGCTCGAGCAGTACAAGCGCGATCTCAAGGCCAAACAGGAGGCGGCGGCCATCAAATCGGACGCCGGCGAATCCGACGGTGCGGCATCAGACGTTGATTGTTCCACATCCGGTACAGCAGCACAGCATCGACATCAGCACCAGCATCAGCATCAGCCTGTAGCATCGACATCCGGTTCCGGTTCCGGTTCCGCAACAGGAACAGGAGCAGGAGGACCTGAACAAGCCACCGGCGATCAAGCGGATAATTCCGGTGCCAACGACGAGGAATGGGCCAAGTTTAAGGCCCTTACGTCCGGTGTCGATAGCATCCTTCATAAGACCCAGGACGAGTTAGATCGGATTAAGAAGGAGTCCTTCTATCAGCGTCTACCCTCCGCCGCCGAGAAGAAGAAACAGGAGGAGGAGGAGGCAGCGCGCCGCGAGGCTGAGCGTCTCGAGCAGGAACGACAGCGTCTGGCCCAGATCGAGGCGCAGCGCGACAAGCTAGCCGAAGCGGTTGTCCAGCTATCCGAGTCCGAGGACGACGCCGGTGACGACGACGAGGTCGATGACATCTTCGCCACCGATTACATCGAGGCGATAACCAGTGGTGAACTCCAGCTAGCCGTAGTACCGGACTCGCCCATCCTCCAGCCGGACGACGGGCCGGATCCCTTCGATACCGCCTACGCCGAGAAGGTAATTGTCGGCGCCGACCGGTCCAAGGGCAACAAGAAGCTAGTCAGCCTTGGTGCGGCCGTAGAGGTTCTATCCGGTCGTGTCGACCGTGACCACGCCGTCGCCTTAGCCAATCCGAAGCGAAAACTCCGCAAGGGTATCCAGAATCTTCTGCTCAGCGAGAGCGTCGAGGTAGCCGATCCCGAGGCGGATCTACTAGTTGCCGAGCCACAGCACAATCTCCTCGACGATCTTGACGAGGAATTGCCGGAATCGGCGGCGCCCATCGATCTCAGTGTCTCCCTGCACTTGCATCTCCTCAAGCCCAAGGAGCAGGACGAAGCGGGTGAGCAGGGTGAGGAGGAGGAGCTGGGACTAGGACCCATACCCGATCTCTCAGAATTCGATGCCCTCAAGGACGAGGAGGACGACGAGTTTGCTGAATTAGCTGCCGAATCTCTGACCAAAAAGGAGGAGGTTACCATCGTTAGTCAGGTGATCCTGCCGCCGGCGGAGTTGCCCACAGAAGCCTTTGCCGAAGCCAGTTGGGCGGAATTCGAGCCAGAACCGGAACCGGAAACAGGTGAGTTAAAGGGAAAAGTATGTCTGTATCCTGGAAATCGTTAACTCTCTCTTTTAGGAAAACCCAAGCGTCCGCCACCACCAGTTCGTCCTGCCACAGGACCTCATATTGTACCAGGTGCCATCTACGTCTCGGACGACGAGGAGGAGAATCCCGACGACGATCCCTTCAACACCAACTACGCCGAGCAGGTGATCAAGAAGACCACCGTACTCGAGGAGGACGACGACTTTGATCCCCGGGCCGACGAGGACGCATCCTTCGGCGCCGGAGCATCGCTAGCGGCGCCTGCAAGAGATCTTCTGGCCGGCAGCGCCACTGATCTCAGCCAGGTAGTGCCAGCCCCCTTGGCGCCCACTTTGAGCGTCGACCAGGAGCCGGAGGACTTTGATCCATTTGATACATCGGCGGTATCGGCTTTGGTGCAGCCCAAGGCCACGGAACTGCGATTCCTGGAGCGGGAACTGTTGAACGAGTCCGGCGGTGGCCTGAAGCACTCGCTCAGCGATCCGGATTTCGATCCCCGGGCCGACCAGGACGATCCTCCGCCCGTTGTTGAGCCAGCCAAGGTGAAGGTTGACCAAATCCAGCCGGAACCGGAATTCGACGCCGCTCGCCGGAAGTCATCGCTTAGCCTGAACATCCAGGCCAAGAGTGTGGGATTCCTGGTCCCTGCTCCGGATCTACTGGGTGCGGGTAATGAGGTCGGTGCCAATAAGAAGCCACTAACTCCGTACTACGCCCCTGTGAGTAAGTCGATCGAAGAGAAGGATCCCGAGGACGTCGATCCTTTCGACACATCGTACGTGCCGGAGGCCAAGCTCAGCGACATCGAACTGAAGCACATTGAAAACGATCTCATCAAGGAGTCCTCTACACTGCGGCACAGTCTCTCCGATCCGGATTTCGATCCCCGAGCCCCGCCCACTCCAGTGCCGGCGGAGGTACTTCTGGCCGTCGAGGAGAACATTGATATTAAGGTCCTGACCCCAGCCCAGGAGCGCAAGAAGCTAACCAACTCAGCCGGCGGAGGTGCCGGCGATTCCGAGGAGGATATCGATCCGTTCGATACATCGATTGCCGCCAATCTCCGGCCCGGAGAGACGGAACTGAAGCTGCTGGAGAACGAACTGCTGCCGGAGACGAAGACCACGGTCACCGACGTCCTTGACGTGCTGAGCGACGCCCAGGAGCTGGGATTGGGCGACAAGGTACTGACGCCATCGACCCACGACGGCAAGCCGGCACTGCCCGCTCCGGAAATCGATCCGTTTGACACCTCCATTGCGGAGAATCTAGGACCAGGGGAAACGGAAATCAAACTCCTCGAAAGTGAACTCATCGAGCGTTAAAGTTTATTCCAAAAAACTTAAAAACTAAATCTTAAAAACAAGAAACCAGACAGTTAAAAAAAAAAAACTAAAATCATGGCGAATCCTTTCTTAATGGACGACGATTTGGATGGCGGCGACATGGCCGCCAATCCCTTCCTGATTCAATCAGAGCCGGAGGAGGCGTCAGATAATCCTTTCGGAGCAGGTGAGTCATTAATATTTTTATTAAATATTTAAAGTCTTAAAAATAAATCTTAAATCGTTTCCAGGAGCTGGAGCCTCGAATCCCTTTGCCTTTGGCGGCGATGATCTCGAACCGGAAGCGGAAGTGGAACCAGATGCTGCTCCCATCAATGATCTGGATCCGGCGATGAGTTTCTTCGGAACCACCATTGAGGCGGAGGACGATGCTCTCAGCTTGAAGTCCGGCGCCGAGGAGGAGGACGGCGAAGGCAAGAAGTCCCAGCCACAGCAGCCACATCCACATCCCCACCCGCCGCCGCCACGCCCCCAGGCACCGCCACAAAGTACCCAGGATTTGATTAGCACCGTGTCCAGCCAACTGGAGGAGACCAGCTCAGAGCTGCTGGGCAGGATACCGGCCACCCGATCGCCCAGTCCCGTCTCCATGCGGGACCTGCACTCGCCCAGTCCCACACCCGACTCGGGGCTGGCGGATCTGCTGGACGTTTCGGTGGACAGCGGCTCCAGTGCCCACATCCAGGAGGTGGACTTGATCAGTGGAGTTGCAGGTGCGGCAGCTCCGCCACCCAATCCCTTGGATAATCCGTTTGCGGTGCCGACGGCGGTGCCCAGCTTGCAGGGTGCCACACCCATGCCCGCCTCGCCGGCCAAGCAACCGCCCCGCCCGCCACCGCCACGCCCAGCTCCGCCACGTCCCACTCCTCCGGCCGGCCACATGCCACCCCAGCGTCCTCCGCCACCGGGGGCAGTGCCCGCCAATCCTCCCGCTCCAGCCCCCGCTGCGGCGGATGCCGATGACCTGCTGGACATGTTCAGCACCTCCAGCAAGCCAGCAAAGCCGCCACCGCCCAAGACCAAAGAGGACATCCTCAGTCTGTTCGAGCAGCCGCAGCCCCAGCCGGCGGTGGCCCCGAAACCGGATCTGCTGAACGATGACCTGCCGGTGACGCCGCCAGAGAAGCTGGAGTCCGAAACGGATGCGGAGGCCGAGCCGGAACAGGCCAGAGAGGAGCCCATCTTCAGCTCCCTGCTCACCCGACCGGACGAGAGCACCCACGACATCACCTCCCAGCCCCAGGCGGCCACCGTGAAGGATCGCCAATCGAATCACATGACGGCTCCGCCGGATGCCAGCAACCGGCAGAGAGCGCCCACGCCGGACATCGAGATCACCACGGTGGAGGATCTGCCCAGGTCCGATGACGAGGACGAGGAGCCGGAGGTGGTGCGTCAACCGGATCCGGAACCAAGTGAAACGAAGCCGGAGACTCCGCCGACGGAGGCAGCGCCGGAAATCGAATCAGTTGCGGAGGTCGAGCCAGTAATCGAACCGGAACCGGAACCTCAACTGGAGCCAGAGCCAGAACCGGAGCAAATGGATACCGGACTCGATTTCCCGCCCGTGGCGAGTGGCCAGCTTTCCGCCAATCCCTTCGCCAGTCCCGAGGAGGAGGACGAGCCCAGCTTTGCACCTGTGCCGGTGGTGGTGGGCAACATCTTTGCGGTGGACGATGTGGAGCCGGAGGCGGAAGCAGAACCGGAACCGGTGGTGGAGCCCACAGTGGCGCCCAGCTATGTGACCAACATTTTCGCCGCCGAACCGGACGAGTTCGATGCCTTTTCGGCCAAGTTCGATTCCGTGAAGAAGGACAACATCAGCATACTGGATGGATTCGGAGGATCCGGGGCTATAACGCCCACGGGCGGTGATGGTAAGTCAAGGAGTATGTCCTTGAAGAATTGTAATCCTAAAGCTCCCTTCTTTGCAGCCTGGGGCGACAGTGCCTTCGGCTCGGCCACGATCTCGGCCAATGCCTTCGGGGATGCCAACTCGGCGGACGATGGCTTTGGCAACGAGGACGACGACTTCTATTCGATGCAGGCTCCTGCTCGCGCCGATTCCGTGGAGTCCGTGGACAAGGAGTTCAGCGTGGTCATCCGGCCCAAGGGAGAGGGCATTGGCGGCGTGGCCCCGCAACTGGCACCGCCACCACCCCCCGCCAGGATCTCCAATCAGGCCACCACATCCCCGCCGGCCACCGTGAATCCGTTCGAGGATGTTAGTGGATTCCCGGCGCCAGCACCACCGCCAGCAGGCGAGACTCCCATGAAGCGAACCGACTCCCAGGACACACCACAAACCCCGCTTTACGACGAGGATGTTTCGCAGCCGCTGGAGGAGTTCCCCAGGCTGCACTACGTCGGCCCCGGGTGGGAGATGCAGCTGCGACAGCCGAACAAGAAGAAGATCACCGGCCAGCGGTTCTGGAAGAAGATCTTCGTCCGCCTGGTGGTGCAGAACGATGTGCCGGTGGTGCAGTTGCTCAACCAGGCCGGCGACAAGCAGCCCTTCCAGGAGCTGCCCCTCCAGCCGTCCTACTCGGTGTCGGAGATCGGTGCCCAGCAGTACGACCAGTTCGGCAAGATCTTCACGATGAAGCTGCAGTACATATTCTACAAGGAGCGACCCGGCGTCCGGCCCGGCCAGGTGACCAAGGCCGAGAGGATCACCAACAAGCTGACCAAGTTCGCACAATACGCCATCGCCGGCGACTACGAGGGCGTCAAGGAGTTCGGCAGCGATCTCAAGAAACTCGGCCTGCCCGTGGAGCATGCTCCGCAGTCGTCACAGCTCTTCAAGATCGGCTCCATGAACTACGAGGACATGAAACAGTTCTCCGTCTGTATCGAAGAGGCGCTCTTCAAGCTGCCAGCTCTGAGGGAACGGGCGCTCACCTACAAGATGGAGGAGGTCCAGGTGACGGCCGTGGATGAGATCACCGTGGAGCAGGACAGTGAGGGCAAGATCCTCAAGCAGATCGCTCGAGTGCGTCTCTTCTTCCTGGCCTTCCTCACCGGCATGCCGACCATCGAGCTGGGCGTCAACGATATGTGGCGCCAGGGCAAGGAGGTGGTGGGCCGCCACGACATCATTCCGGTGGCCACCGAGGAGTGGATCCGCCTGGAGGCTGTCGAGTTCCACAGCGTCGTCAATCAGCAGGAATACGAGCGAACGCGTACCATCAAGTGAGTACTTTGTTCTTTACTTTTCCTCGATAGAGTCCCTCAATCCTGTCCAATCCTCTCCAGATTCCAACCGCCTGATGCCAACTACATTGAATTGCTGCGCTTCCGCGTGCGTCCGCCCAAGAATCGCGAACTTCCGCTCCAGCTGAAGGCCACCTGGTGCGTTACCGGGAACAAGGTGGAGCTCCGTGCCGATATCCTGGTGCCGGGCTTCACCTCCCGCAAGCTGGGCCAGATACCCTGCGAGGATGTGTCGGTGCGCTTCCCAATACCCGAGTGCTGGATCTATCTGTTCCGTGTGGAGAAACACTTCAGGTGGGTCATGTCCTTAATCCTCAAAAGTTCTTTTGTAATTATTTTGAAATTATTATCCAGATATGGTTCGGTGAAGTCTGCCCATCGGCGAACGGGCAAGATCAAGGGCATTGAAAGGATACTGGGTGCAGTGGACACCCTGCAGGAGTCCTTGATTGAAGTGACATCGGGACAGGCCAAGTACGAGCATCATCATCGCGCCATTGTCTGGCGGTGTCCTCGACTGCCCAAGGAGGGTCAGGGTGAGTATCATTAGTCATTTCCGTGCATCCTTTAGGATAACTTGGGTTTGTCCTTCGCGTAGGAGCCTATACCACTCACCAGCTGGTCTGCCGGATGGCCCTCACCTCCTACGATCAGATACCCAGCGAACTGGCGCCGTACGCATTCGTGGAATTTACGATGCCCGCCACGCAGGTCTCGCATACCACCGTGCGCTCCGTGAGTGTCCAGGATTCGGACGCCGATGAGCCGCCCGAGAAGTATGTCCGCTATTTGGCACGACACGAGTACAAGTGAGTAGTGATTCTATAAAGTACCGGGTATCTCTATAGTTTTATTTCCAAAATATCCTTTCCCCTCTTCCAGGGTTGGCATCGAGACCACGCACGGCGAGTCCACGAACGCGTATCTGGCGGCAACCCGGCCCATCCGGGAGGAGACGACCACCTCGGCCGCCAAGCCGACGGCATCTCCCGTCCCACCCAGCGATTCGGACACGGACACCAACTAGGCTGGCTAATCCTGTACCAGGAACTGGGCTTTCTGTAGATATTCCTCCCTGCATGGTTTACCCAATCGTTCTTGTTATATATATATATATACAAAATGAAAAAAAAATACAAAACTATATAGATATGTCTGGGTCCCTAAATAATATAAACATATATATATATTTTCATGTGCGTCTGATGCGATTTATCCCCTCTAGCCTTTAGCCCCTCTTCCCCACTAGAGAAAGAAAGAACTCCTACTTCGAATAGCTTGTGCAGCGTGTTCATCGTTTTTTTGCAAAAATGAGAGAGAGAGTTAGGTAAAGATTAGTTGACAATAAAGTTAAGGGCAGCAGGAGCAAGGATCCAGCTCGAAGAATCTGTCTCGAAGGATCAAAAAGAAGACGGAGCTGGACTAGATGGCGGAGGAAGAGCACCAGAAACAGAAACAGCGGGAGGACAGTGTAAAAAGCCAAAAAAGAAGATACATAAAAGGATGCCGTGGGCAGCAAGGATCATGACACGCCACCGGAAGTGCTTTGAGAGAAGAAAGAAGAAAAAGAGAAACCACGAAACTGCGTTACTTGTAGCCATAAAATCACGTTAATGTTAATCAATATCAGACCCACAATCAGACTCAGATTTCAGAACTCAGAATCGTACGTAAAGTGAAAACCCATACATATACATAAACACAAACATATATATACTCTGATGTATTATGATGTAATCTGATGTAGTCTGATGTAAGCAATAAAAAGCAATTTCATCGAGTGCTGCCGTTTCCCCCTCCCCCTCTCCCAAAAAAACAAAATCAAGTAATATCTTAAATCCTTTCCCCCTTCAAGAAGCTCAACTGGAGGGCAACGCACATACACTGCAAGAAAAAAATAAAAAAATAAATAAATACTTACTAATACACTTGAAGAAAAAAACAAACTGGAATTTCAGAAAAAACTATGCTATCCATCAGATACACTGTAAGCTTTACGTATACCATTGATTTAATGATAACTTTAGAAAAAGAAAAAAAAACTACCAGAAAAAAAAAGGAAAAACAAACGTTCATGAAACCGGAAACGAAATCGAAAAACGGAAACGGAAATGCATATTCAAATGTTATTGTTGTGAATCAAATTAAATTATATTCAATCTATGGTAAACGAAAACAAAAATTAAGACAAAAAAAAAACATAAACTAAAAACCAAATCCATATAGAAGAATCATACTTTGTTGAAGCAAGAAACTAAAGAAACAAAAAACTAAAAGCTAAAAACTAAAAAATAAAAATAAAAACTAAAGAAAAAATATTTCATAACTATATGCCAGATGTATTGATTGATTGATTGATTAATTGATTGATTGATTGAGTTTACTAGACAAGAATTGCATAAATAGATTTGTTAATTGAGTGTTAAATGAATATATTCTATGATCTCCCCCTCCCCCCCTCAAGCTTGCCTCTGTTCGATTTCCTATAAAATATACAAAAATATATACATAAATTCAAGTATTCAAAAAAAGGCCCATTCAAAATCCATTCCGATCATTCAGATATATACGAACTCTAGATGGAATCACGATTTAATGATAATAGTAAATTATGTACTATATTGTATCCCTAAGAAGCCCTTCATCATATATTATATATATATATATTATATTGTATGTTACATTATTTACCTATGTTTAATTCTACATAACTATTATATATCGTCTACAACATATTATGTATTCTATGTACAATAAACAAAAAACAAGAAAAAAAACCGGAAACAGATAAAACCCCCAGCAACAGAACAAAAACACTCTCACATGTTATATATATATATATAAATATATAATAATTATACACACACAAGTCGACAAGGCCCCTGCCGACAGGTATATACCTTCTGGATCGATCTGGTTTCGGATCGAGGTTGTATATAGCCTGCGGAAGGGGCTGTCGCTATTATACAAAATATGCGGCGCAAGCTAAAATGGTATTATCCGATCAACTAAATACAATATAATGAATTATTATGAACCGAACAAACCAAACCAAAAAAAAAAACAAAAAAACGCATTACGATGGAAACATTACCTAGTCAAATGAGAAAATAAATATTGAAATGACAAATATTAATTGAAGGTGTTTTTTATTGTTGAGTTATGGGGTTTAATATAAAAAAGTTTGATATTTTTTCTATATTTTTGGCTTTATTTTTGGGCAACTTTTTCAATTACATAGAGGCTTTAGAAAATAGAAAAGGCTTCTTGGTTCGTAGAGCGATACCTGGCACTTGGTTCTCTTTAAAGGTCTTTAGTTCTTGGTCTTCTAAGGCTTCTTTTTATTTTAAGCAAGTTCTTATCTACTTAGGATTGTATTTTTAAAATTTTTCCTATTTAAATTAGAATAACTTTTCCTCCCTATTTCATAGAATACATTTTAAAAAACGTTTTAAAAGTTGTTTCTTTAAAAACACAACTTTATATATCTTCTTCTATAATGTTTTGTCTTTATAAAGAACCTTATATATACTTTTCCCCTTAAATCTATTTAAATTCAAGTGAAAATCAAACAATTTCTTATGAAATATTTAATTCTGAGTAAAAATTCATATTTTTATAATTTTTTTTTGATAAATTCCTTAAAGACAATAATTTTAAATAAAAAATAAAGGCTTATCCTTTTAAATAAATCTAAAACATCAAGTCTTATCTAACTACAGTTTAAAATTTAAAGTCAATACTTTTTTTTTTTGCTAAAAACTTGCAAGACAAGTTGCCACTTGCCACATGTGGCATGGGGCCAGAAGGTTTTTGGCACAACTCGGTGACCCAATGTGGGCTTGCCCTTGGCTTCATTTATCACGAAGAGTTGCCACTGCCGTTGCCGTTGCCATTGCCGCTACAGTTGCAGTTGCAGGATGTCTTTTTGCAACATTTTATTACAACTTGGCCATAATTTGATACACATACCCCCCGCTTTAACCCCTGCTACCCGCGCCATTTCAGGCCATTTATCATTAGCCAGGGTCTGAGATATAGAAACCAGTATTCCGCATCTAGAGTCCTGAATCTTGAATCCTGGAACCGGGAGCCGAGAGCTGTGAGCCAGGACTGCTGCAATCAGGACACACAGGGCACACATGTGCAGAGCGGAGATTTGGCCATGAAGTCCTCATAAAATATTATGTTCAACTTTTGCGCTGTGTTTTGTGTTTTGCCACTTAGCTCTTTGGTTGGGTTTTTTTTTTTTGGTGGGGGGGTATTTTGTATCTGAATGTCCTGGGGGAGGAAGTATATAGTAGAGCAAGGAGCAGCAGCTGACGTGACTGGCTTTTGAGTGGCCGGAGTGTAAGCCACAGAGCTCAGGCAGTCAAATAAATCTGATTCTTTTCCTCAGCCATTCAAATCGTGCAACGCCTTAACTTTCCTGGCCCTCATCCTCTTCCTCCTCCTTGTTATCCTTCCTATCCAACCTTACAGACCTCTGTAGTCCTTTTCTAATTTTTCCTCTTCTCATATATTTATTTTTGTTGGCCTTTTTTTCGGGCAGGACTCTCTTTTTTTGTGTGTGGCACCTGTTTTTGGCCTAATGAGTTTGCTTCCTGATGCCTCCAATGCCGCCAATCCTCAATCCGCTCGGACACGTGATGAAAATATCCTGTCAGCAAATTGATGCCTGCAAGATCTGGCCGCCAAATTGTGTCCGCCATCTGGCAGTTTCTTCCAAGCACTGAAAGAAATTGGAGATTTCTTAAAAAATTAATACAAAAAAGAGCCTAAAATTAGAGCTTATTTAATCATAAAAATTATATTTTAAAGTAAGATCTTTGAAAACCTAAAAATGTTTAAAAACTATAACCAATATCCTTTCTTTGCCTGCTGTTCTCTGGCCACTTGAGCATTGGTCCTGCACGTCTTGGGTCCTTTGTTATATCCTTGCTAGCAACGAGTATGTGGCAGATACTGGCGGCAAACACGTGTCTCCTGCCACACAGTGCGGCTGCCACAAATATGAATCAATAAATGAGCTAAATAAATGACACAAGCTGCCGAATTGAAATCAACTTGTTTACGAATATGAGATTCTGACATCTGGTTTCTTACTCCCTCTTACTTTTTTTTGGCCATGGCCAACACCCTCTGGCCATGTTATTGAATAATATTGGCAACAATTGACAGACAGTTTCCCTTTTTCAAGAATTAAGAAGCTTAAATTAAAAGCTAGCTTACCATATTTTTTTTTTTTGCAATAAATTAAGAGAAATTTTTGTGTGGCATTATCCTTGGATCCTAGCCAGCGAAAGGCGAACGGAAGCAGCCATCATAAAGCGAAACTGAAACTAAACTGAAAAGGATACCAGGATATCCGTTGGCCGAAAGCCAATGCCTACAACTAATTACTGAATGAAAAATAAAATTTCAATAAACATTAAAATCAAATCAATCATTTTTGATAGTTTTTTTTTTTTAAGAATTCTGCCACTTTGTGTGTTGCAGTGACATTGTTGCAAGTTCCTTTGGGGAGTTGTGGTTATGTTATTTTGTTTTCTGGCCAGTTTATAGACGGCCATAACACACACAAAATGGCAAAGTGGCTCAGATGTTCCGGGTTTCTGGTCGAGTTGGCTGGCAAAGTGTTGGCCGAAACACCTGCTATTTGGCCATAAAATCCAAATGGGACGCCAACGCATAAACCATCCAAACATCCCGAATGGCCTGAATCCGTAAGGATGTCGACGACTGCTGCCGGCTGCCAGTTGCCAGCTGCTTACATAATTATGCAAGGACGAAAAGGAGCGAAAAGGACCTGATCCCAGGTCCGTAGTCCTCAGTCCTTAGTCCTCAGCCCTCAGTCCAAGACAAATTGGCATAATGAAAACAGCTGGGGCCGAAGGGCTTCTGGCTAAAAAGCTAAGGCCAAATGCAAATGGCCAAAATGTCGCGTTGTTCCTCCACATTTCACTTGTCGCCTTCTGTGAATGCCTCTAACCCTCAGTATCCCAGTATCCAGTGTGGCCCAGTATCCTGTGCATCCTGTATTTCGTTTCGTATTTCAGTTTTCCAAATTTGAATTTTGAATAACCCTTTTCCTTTTTGTCCCGTATATACACGTATACGTTCATATCCACACATATGTGCCCATTCAAACAGCCATCTAGCCGCTCCAGACATCCAACCAGGGCTGCATAAATTTCCACCATACACCACACACACCCATGCACAGGCACAGGTCCTTGAAGGTCCTTCCTGTTCGACGATATCACTACGAATTAGCATAGAAAACTGCAAATTTGAATTATGGCCAAAGGCACGGCGGCAGCCACTGCCACAACTTCCACAAGAATGCCAGGACCTCCAAGTGCTGCAGGACTTTCAAGGATCAAGGATACAGAACAACATCACCAGCAGTAGCAGCTGTTTTTTTTTATGCAACAACAAGGAGTATATAATTTAAGCCAAATAGCAGAGTTTTAAATACAATTTGTAGAGAAAATAAAGAGTCCTTTGAGATTTTGTAAGCTAAAAATTGCATTCTAAGGATACTTTAAAAGATTTGTGATTTTCTTTTCAGTTTAGACTAAAATTTAGAGGTTTTTCATTCCATTTTTATTTAAAAGCATTTAAAAATCGAGGAGTTCGAGGTTATCGTAGGTTTATGAAGCTCTACTGCTTTTGTTACCTTCTTTTAATTAATTTCTTAAAAAAATGTATACTAGAAATATATAAAAACTAGTCTATTTTAACCTTAACATATATTTTAACTTTGCTTAATTTTTTTTTTAAATATTTTCCATAACCAACTAAAAACCATTGCCCTTTTCCTTTTTAAACAAAAATCTTAAACTTTTTAAACATTCTGGTCTAGTCTCTACGAAACTCTCTCTTATTTTTATGTCCTTTGATTTTCTCTATGCTTTTCCTCACTTTCTGATTTGCCCTGTATCCTTTAACAGTTTTCTCCCTTTTAGCAGTTTTCCTTTATCCTTTTTCCAATTTGCATGTGCATATGCATTGACATCTGACCACTGGCGCAAATGCATTTGCAGGATACCAGGGACTCTAAGGACTCGAAGGGATAGGGGCCCACGATAGGGACTTCCAGGGGGGGTGCAAAACGGAAATCCAGGGGGGCGGAGTGGCAAGGGCACAGCGCATCCTGGCGAGTCTAATGCGACTAATAGATCCTTGTTTGCCGAAAAGTTTGCGGCACCCACTTTGCCTTGTTTGCTCCTGTCTTTGGGTCTTTTTCGGTCCTTTTTCCAAGCTCCTGCTCCTGCTTGTGCTCCTCCTGGTGGTGGTGATGGTGATGGTGCCTAGTCCTTGCCTACTCCTTGGCAAATACGTAATCAGTGGAATTTTCATGCGCATTTTTCTTTCGACTCGTCTCGGCAAACAAACGGCGCTTTGAGCTGACGCTCCACTCGAAATACGTTGCTCAATTTCCATAAACACGTGAGCAAATAGCACGTGTGCCCAGGACCTAGGCACTAGATGGTAGGCAGCTACCATCCAGTCACCTACAGCCAGGATTCAGGACTAAGGCATGGGAACTGAGAGAGCTGGCACCCCTTCGAAGCTTCAAATCCCTTGACGAAAATCGTTGCACCAAAAAAATAGATACTAAGGAAGGGTTTTTGTAAATCACTTTATAGGTTTTGAATATATGATTTAAAATTATGAAAAAAATTATGAAAAATTAGAAAATATTTCTTAACCAATGACCTAAAAAATATTTTTATTTTAGCAAAGAAATTATAGAAGAGAAAGGTTAAACAAAGGTGGCCCAAACAATTAGTTTTTTAAACTTATCCTTGAATTTTAAGTATCTTAGAACTTAAAAAAAATTACTAAAGCTGAAATTATTTTTTAAATACTAAATATTAATATTAAAACTTATTAAAATTATTCAAAGTTAATATAAAAACCAAATTTTTTTTTGCTGTGTACATAGCTTCTCTCTCCAGGTTGTCCTTTAAACGGCATTTGTTAACTATTGCCGACATTTGCTTGCCAAGGTGGGTGGATGGCACCACCCCCTTATAGGACCCACCTTACCTCCTCCTACCCACCAAAAACCCCCTCTGTCACCCCTCCTGGCCCCCTGATTCCTCAACCATCTTCGATATTTGAGTTTCGTCGCTGTAAAATGCGTCCAAATTGATTTTTATTTATATTTCAAAGGAAAAACTTTTGTGCAGCTGTTGGGCTTGTTGTTTTTCTTAAGTTTTTTTTCTCCTACTTCTTTCTTTTTTTTATATTTTTTGTTTTTGTTTTTATTATTGTTGTTGTTGTTGCTGTTGTTGTTTGCTGGGTTGAGCTTGCAGCTGCGACAAAGTTGCGAATACGACCCGTCAATATTTCATTACGGGCTTCTCTTCATACAACTTCGATTTAGCCATTCAAGGGGAAAGAAAAAGCAAACAACTTACGACAAAAATTGCCCCGAAGCACCCAAATACAACATGTTTATATATATGTCAGGGTATGTGGGTTAAATCTTTATTAAGGTGGCACTTGGTTCAATTAAGAAATCAAAGGTTAAAGGGGTAACACTCAAGATCAAGTGGGGAATAGAATTTGAAGCCTGTTTGGGACCTTTTATTATATTTCTTTTTTCTTATAGAATATAGATTATGAACTAGGACCACCCCAAGTTATATATAATTTGGCAATTCATAGATTCAATCAGGTAGCAAAATTTATTTATGATTGCAAGTCCTTTTGTTTTGTTTCCACATTTGGCCAAAAACATTGATTGATGCCGCCCAAAGGCCAAATGCCTCAAATATGGCTCAAATATTTCACAGGCCTGCCTGCCTGCCAGTAAGCCAAATAAATTATAGGCTTATATAAGAGAGAGTAAATATTTATCTGGATTTATAGTACATAGTACAGATAGTTATATACTATCCACGAAAACCTCTCAACCATCTGAGTTTTAAATATCAAATATCACCTTTGTGGTCTTCAAGTAATACTACTTATTGGTAATTAAATCCCCACAATATGTGGTTTATGGGATTGTGTAATTAAATAGAGTGCAGATGGGAAAAGTAACACTGAGACAAAATAAATGATACTTTAGGGATTTATATTAAAAATTTTTAAATATCTCTTCTTTTGTATGCTTTTAAAAGACCCTGAAACTTTCTTAAAAATAATATTTAAGCCCTTTCCCCCTAGCATTTTCTCTCCCTGTACTAAACCCATCTAGTGTTTAAGACCTGCTACCTTTCGATCATTTCCAGAGCTCTTGGGGATTTCATTTTGCCATGGAACGTTGGACGAATCGCGTGGCCGTCGTCACTGGAGCCAGTTCCGGCATCGGAGCAGAGCTCTCCCGCAAGCTGGTAGCCGCCGGCGTGGTGGTGGTGGCCCTTGCCCGTCGTCTCGATCGTTTGGAGCAACTGCGCCAGGATCTGCCCGAGGAGGAGCAACGCCAACGTCTCCACCTCCGTCAGTGTGATGTCACAGACGTGGTGGCCGTCAATTCCGTGTTCGATTCGATCAAAGATCAGCTGGGCGGTGTGGATATCCTGGTGAATAATGCCGGAAAGCTATCTGGTGGACAACTGCTCACCATGCCCCTGGACATCGTCCAGCAAGTCCTGCAGACGAACGTGATGGGTGTGGTGCAGTGCACCCAGCGGGCCTTTGAATCGTTGAGGGAGCGGCAGGTTACAGGGCATGTGGTGCTCATCAATAGCATTGTGGGTCATTATCTCTTCAATCCACTTCCCGGGAGCCAGCAGGAGCTCAACATGTATCCTGCCACCAAGCACGCCCTCACCGCCCTAACGGAGCTCTTCCGGCAGGAGTTGCGGGATTTTAAGACGCAGGTCAAGGTTACGGTGAGTATGTGCTTATACCCTAAGTATTCGATAGATTAGACATTCAATCTTTGATTCTAGTTTTTATAGCTATTCTATTACCTTACAAAAAAGGACAGGGAATAATTTCTTTTTAATATTTTCCACCATAAACTAAAGCCTTTAAAGTAATCAACTATCAAAGCTTAATAGTTATTTTAACGACCTCTAGTTTTTATGATTTTCTTCCAAAATTCTTACCCATATAAAAAATCTTCACTAATAATTTCTAAATATCATAAACTATACTCTACCCTATTTAGAGCATCAGTCCTGGGCTGGTGGACACGGAATTGGTGCCGCAGGCCTACAAAACACTGCCCATGTTGCAGGCCGAGGATGTGGCAAATGCGATTATGTATGCCCTGGCCACGCCCCCGCATGTTCAGGTGCACGAACTGACCATCAAGCCAATGGGTGAGCCCTTCTAAGCAAAGGACAAAAGGCTGGAAGGACAATAAAGGACACCCCACGCACTTGGCACTTTCAAGTTGTGTTTTTTTTTGTTTTTTCTTGAATTTATAAAGCATTACGACACACCGGTTCTTGAGGCCAAGTACACTTATGAACTGAATAATTTCTGCAACTGGAAAAGGGCTAAAGGCACTGAAAGAAATTGTATAATAAAAGATACAAAAATAACTTTAATATAAAGAAATCTATTATTTAAAAAGCTATCAAGATCATAGCCAATTCTTTATTAAATTTATTTATAAACTCTATTTTTTTTGCACTAATAAAAAATGTGATTTATTATGCGGAAGCGATTATATATTATTTGTGCGATCCGTTAAGAAACGTCTCAATTACCTCTATAGATGGTAACGGCGCTACAAAATCCATCAAAATTCATTCAATTATTCAAGTCACGTGTGAACTGCGCGCTTGGGCGGGTCAGTGTTTGTTTGTTTTTTCATTTTTTGTTTAAATAATTAATTTGCATGACAGACTGTTGGCTTTTAGCTCTTGGCCATATATAAAGTCTTGGCCAAGTTCTAGCTCGACTCAGTTGTGCTTTTCATTTTGCAAAGAATCAGAGAATCTAAAGGAATAATCTTCTAGAATGGATCGCTGGCAGGATCGTGTGGCTGTCGTTACGGGAGCGAGTTCTGGAATCGGAGCCGCCGTTGCCCGGAAACTGGTCGAATCCGGGGTGGTGGTGGTGGGTCTGGCCCGGAGAGTGGATCGCATGGAGGCCATTAAGGAGCAGCTGCCGTTGGAGCAGCAGGCCCGATTCCACACCATTCATTGCGATGTCGGGGACCTCGATTCGATAACCGCCGCCTTTGATTGGATCGAGGAGCAGTTTGGAGGATGCGATATTTTGGTCAATAATGCTGGCTGCCTTTTTCCGGGCCAACTGCTGACGCTGGACGTGGAGCATCTGCAGCAGACCCTCAATGTGAATCTGATGGGAACGGTCCACTGCACCAGACGCGCCTTTCGCTCTATGCAGCAGAGGGAGGTGGCAGGTCATGTGGTCCTTTTGAATAGCCTCACGGGCGAGACGATCATCAATCCGCCGGGTGACGAGCTGCAGGTCCTCAACATGTATCCTCTGACCAAGCACGGAATTAAAGCTCTGCTGGAGGTCCTGCGCCAGGAGATGAGGGGCTTTAAGACCAAAATTAAGGTTACGGTGAGTTATTTTTGTGGGTAGAGTCCTCCCAAAGTTCAGGATTTTTGTATAAGGAACTAGAGCTATATCTTTGCCGATTCTTATCCGATTTTTAAGGGGAATATCTTAAAAAATTCCTTCATTGATTCCCCATCATTTTGCCTTAAATTCTTGCAAGAAAATATTTGGAAGGAAGCTTAAAAACCTGCTTAGACTTAGACTTTATATGAGGACAGCCAACAGGGCGTATGAGTTATATTAATATAAAGTATACGCCATGTTGGAATAAATATTAGGCCATGTTTTCTTTAGAAAAAAAAATAGATTAAATATTTAAAAATAATTAGAAATAATAATATTTTCTTCCTCCCAGAGCATCACTCCTGGGGTAACCGATACAGAGATCCTGCCCGGGGGATACGGCGTTCTGCCCATGCTCAGCCCGGACGACATTGCCGATGGGATTCTGTACGCTCTTGGTACGCCCCCCCACGTCCAGGTCCATCAGCTGACCATCAAGCCGTTGGGTGAGCCATTCTAGCTCACAGATCACATTTCGGCCAAAAAACTAGAAACAAATAATATGTAAAATAAATGTTGGGAAATTACGGTTTCTCTTTATTTGAAAATAACTTTGGCGAATTTCGGTTGGGAAGCATGTCAGGAATAACTTGCGGCAACAGTCAGGAATGCCTGACTGACGAAAAAAAAAAAAAATACGAAAATAAGTTAACATTAGTCTGACAAGCTGGCTGGCTGTTGGCTGATGGGTGTTGGGGAGTGTAAGGCAACAAGGATGCGGATAAGGATGTGTATGTGTGGGTGTGTAGGACGATGGTACAGGTGACGCTTTCGCATTCGCATCCAGAAAGTCGCGGCAACAGGGACGCTCTTTGTCAATATTGAAAGCGTACGCGTTTGACATAAAATGTAATATAGTCTCACCAACACACACACACACACACACACAAACATATACCTATATCCTGGCAAAGAAGTCTACTAATACACCTACAAAAAGTTCACACAGAGGTGGCGAGAAAAAAAAGTATAAGGCAGTGGCATTGGCAAAAACTAGAGTCAGCCAAAGCTGCTGCCACTGAAGTGCACTTTAAAAAAAATAGTTAAAAAGTAAAGATTTTTTTAATATTAAAATAGACAATATAAACCAGTATTAGTTTATTTTTAAGAATTAAAGAGGTATATTTCCTTGATTTATGTAAGTAAAAATTATTTAGTATTTAATATTTCCAACCATATTTTTTGTTACAGTGTACCTGTTGGTGTCTCTGCATTTTGCATTTCATTTTGCAGGACTCCCTTCTATTTTTTTTTTTATTTTACTTTTTTGTACACTTTGTTGTTGTTGTTGTAGCAGAGCACACATGGCAAATTCCAGAGGAGGATGGTATAGGAGACGCCTCCACCTTGGGCTAAGCCGGAGTCAGACAACTTTTATGACTTGGTTGCAAGCAGAAGAGGCAGCAGTAATGGTGATGCTTATGCTTATGCTTATGGCTGCAACAACTGCAACAACAACACCAGTAGCAACATCAACAACAGCAACATCGAACTTCGTTTCGCGTCACTCGCGTCACGCCAAGTTGTCAATGTTGCATATAAACACGGCGTTGTCAATGTTGCAACTGCTTCCACTGGCACTGCTAGTGCCAGTGCCACTGCCACTGCCACTTGTTGTTGTTGCAATATCGCTGGAAGGAGCAGCTCGTTTGCTTGTCTATTTCAGTGGCAGCATTTCTTTGCAACCAGGCAGGAATAGAGCTAATAATGTCGCGGCTCCTTGTTGTTCCTGTTTAGAGATATCCTCTGCCATGGTGTCCTACCATCGTGCATCCTTTTTTTCGGTTATCATTCCACTTGAACCTGTCGGATTCCACTACAAGGAGGCAAAAGGAATTATTTTTTTTCAAAAATGTTTGCCGAAATGTGCTTTAGATAATATTTATGAAGGGGAAAGAGATGCTTAAAAGAGCCCGCCCGAGGTTACATATTTAAAAACAAATTAGAAGCTGTCCACTAATAAGTGCCATAACACTAACAGACCCCCCTCCAGAAATATTTCTCCAAACTTTCAAGTTTTTCTGGACTTTTTTTTTTTACATGCCTCAGGCATGGTTGGGAAAATAAGGCTCACATAAAAGGCCAAAAGGAAAAAGTTAAAGTGTCGAGAGCAAAATAAATTCTTTCCGTTGCCGCAAAGAAAAAAAAAACGGCAAAAAAGAGAAAGGAAAAGCGTGGAAAGCAGCAAAGGAAAAACTGAAGGAGAGGCTGCATCTGAATCTCGATGGGCACTTTAAGGCGTGACCGTGAAGAGGAAACGGAAATGGAACATGAACGGAAATGGCCACCTCAGATGCTTCGACTTGGTTTTCCATTCCGGTTAGGAACTGTTGCCCCCATTCGAAGGTCAGCTTAATTTTTATTTATTTCTTAATTATATTTATGATAGAAACTTAATTCTAATTTGTAGATTAATTTATGGAAGTACCTTTAAAGTTTTTGGTAAAAAAAATCCCTGGTCATGAGGATTCTATTAAATATTCAAATTTAACCAAAGCCCGAAGGACACACAATCGTGTCCGGTGGGCCGCGGCCGGGTCCTGAAATTTGATAAAATTTTCTGCAGCATACTTCTGGGCGTCAGCTTGAAATTTGCATTAAAATTAGACACAGCGTCCTATTACGCTAATCAGCTGCTATCTCTTTCTATGAAGGTGTTACTATCTCTTTCTTGTTACCATATTTTGTCTCTTTTCTGTTGTGCTTTTTTAGTAACCACTTTTTTTGTTAATTTGTTGATATTTTTGGTGTTATAACCGGTATCAAGGGTATATGGTATTCGTGGATACTTTTGTCATGAGAAGATAGACCCTAAGAAATTAGATTTTCAATAGGCTAGATTCTTAGATTACAGGGTATCATCAAGTCGAATTACTCAAGTCCCCCTGGGGAACTTTTCTTTTTTTTTCATTTCAAGGGTCATGGATTCTGATTGATTTGCCGCGACATTTTGGCTTTCCTTCTGCCACGCCTCCTGCACCTTCTCCTGGGCCGCCCCTTGCCATGGCTAATTAGCATAATGCCAGACAGTTTTTAATAAGTTGCGGCTTTGGGCTTGTAAACTGGAAACTGGAAACAGGTGCTGCAAATGCATTTGATTGCCCAATCCCAGTGTAGTTGCCTTTTAATTAAAACTTCAATTCAAGCCGAAGATGCAGACCCAGGACTCTGCCACCCCCACTTTGCTTGCCGCATTGCCACCACTACTTTCACCACGACTTTCTCTCGGGAAAATTTCAGCTGTGACTCAATCACGCGGCTCACATCTCTCTGGGAAAATCTAATTAAACAGCTTCGTGGAAATTCTCCAGAGAAGAGGCCGTGCCGGTGGGAGGTAGAGGCGTGTCCCACGCAGCTTCAAGGCTTCCAATCAAATTGTATCTGTATTTCGGTGAATCTGTATCTGTGCTTGTATCTGTATCTCTATCTGGCACTGCGATTTGCCGGCTTACCACTACGACTCGATGAAAATTGGACTTTGCGGTTCCCGACCACCTGTTGATTGCGAATTTCATTTATTTTGTGGCAGCTCATTCAAAGGTTTGTTAAATCAAAGAATATTAGATGGTCTTATAGAGAAAGTTTTATAAAGATTTACTTTTAAAAAATAAAAATTGTTAAATAAAATAGTATTTCTTTTCAGACTAATGATTATACTCTCTTTTAAAGAGAGACCTTTTCTCTGCAGTAGGGCTATCTTGGGAAGCGCTCTCTTATCGCATGACCGTAAGCTTAGACTTTAAGTCTCTTTCCTACTCACACCTTTACCTAGGATCGCAAGTTCTGTGCTCTTTAAGCTCTTCTCTCGGAAGAGACTACAGGCAGTTGAGAAAACTATTAGTTGGAGTCCCCCCCTTATGAGTAATTTTCCTTTTATAATTATTTTCTTTATTATAATTATTATAATTTTAATATTTTGAAAAAATTATATTTGTTTATATTTTGTTGTCCTTTTGTCCGCCATACCTCTGGCCTTGTTTCCAGTGCCACTCCTAGTTATTTTCCTGCTGCCTGCTCCTGGCAATCCGCTCAACTTGCATCATTTCCGCCGGGGCTTTCGCTGCTCTCGCTTTCCGTTTTTCAGCTTTCCGTGTGTTTTTTTCCCCCCACAACCCGCCCTTTTCGTTTTGCCGTATTTCGTTTTCGTTGTCAACTAATTATAAAGTTGAGAGCGGAAACATTTACAAAACATTTAGCGAAAAATGCACATTTCCCAGAAACGTGTGCGGACTCGGTAATAAGCTGGTTTTGGTTTTCCTCCCGAAACTTGCTAACGAAATCAAAAGGCCAATCCCGATTCGGCCCACCCACTTGAAGCTGATCCTGTCCCGCATATCCTTGTCGCCATTCACCCTCCTCATCCTCGTCCTCATCCCTCTTCCATCTCGTTTTCGTTGGCGTCGTCCTGTCGCCTGCGACACGTAGAATGGCCAACGGGGCATGCAAATGCCTCCGTCCGGCGACCGCCGACCGCAAACGAGCTCTCCGGCTCCAGCTCCGGCTCCGGCTCCCGGCTCTCGGCTCTCATTCTTCTTCCTGCCCGGCATCACTCGGTCACTCACACACCGCCAACTCACTCACTCAAAAGCTCAGACCCGAAAAAAAGGACGTGGTGGTTCTCTTACATTCATACTCTTTTCATTTTTTTAAGGCAATTAATGGAAAGTGATTTATGTATTTTAATTTTAAACAAAATATATATTTATTTAACAAAATTTTTAAACAATTTAAATATTTATAAATATTTTCATTGAGTTTTTTACTTAAATACTTCAAAATAAGTACTTAACTAATGTTACTTAGTCCTAATGTCTGTTAATCAGCTAATCAAGTCACATTAGCCCTGCCATGGCAGTAAGCCCCTAGTGAGGGCATTAAAATATCTGGATGGAGGGGGGGCATGTGGCATGTGGCACGGGGAAGACGCAGCAGCAGCGCCAGATAATAAATGTCAAGCTGGGTGAGACGTGGCCATTGTGGCTTATGGGCTTGGAACTTTTTAAACTTCATGCATTCCTGAATACGTAATCGTAATCTCTGCATATGCGTGCAACGCACTCCTCCACACTGCCGCACTCCTCGTTGCTGCGGCATTTTGTTGAATTGCATTTTTTTTTTTTTTTGTACATTTTTTATATATGTACATATGTATGTAGTGTACGAGTATTTTATTTTATCGCTGCTGCGGCAAGATAACAGGGGCAGCACTGGAAAAAAGCTGCCACAGCGAATATTATGCAACTGCAGCCACAAAACGATACAAGCACGATTTTAATAAAGCCACAAGAACACAATATTCTGAAATTATGAAATCAATTAATAAATATAAGGCAGGGTATTTTACCATTGTTCCAAAACCTATTTTTAAAAAATAATAAAATCAAAAAAACATCTATTTGAACATTTTATTTTCAAAAGTTTTGTGGTCTATTGACCAAATTTTGACCAATTACTGGTAAAGTATATGGAAGTCATATAATGACCAAAAAATAGCAAAGTAATAAGAGAACTTTAATCCGAAGTAGGATTTAAAATCAAATGTCCGTCGTTGTCGCATTGCATTCGAAATGTGCCCAGAATGGAGCGCGTATTTCGCAGGATGGGCATATCCTTTCGCGAGATGCGTTTGAATCCAAAAATCAGCAGCAGGACGAGCGAGGTCATCGAGATGACGAAAGCACCCTGACTGGCCAGAGCCCTAAAGACCAGGGATTGGCTCTCCCGGACGTCCTCTAGCAAGTGGCACGACCCTACGGCCGTGCAGGTAGCGATGGCGCCCATCAGTAGGCCTCCCCGGCACTTGCTCGGCTTCTCGGAGGCCACCATCTCGCTCAGACGCCGCTCGAAGGCACGCAGGTCCTCTGCCGCAGGATCCGTAGCCCCGGGCATGTCCTGCTGCTCTTAACGCCGATTCAAACAGTATTGTATTATTTTTTGGCCTCCAAAAAAAGGCAACCAGGTCAAGTTTTCAATATGTGGAACTAATCCCACATTCTATGTTGAATTTTGCGCCAAACCAATGAAATTCGAATGATTGATGAATTGTTTAAAACTTCGAAACAAATGTAGGCTCAACTTTTTTGTACTGAAACCGAAAAAAATGAGGCTCTTTTCAAAGAGAACTGTGATATTAACAAGGTCTACCAAGCCTTTTAAAAAATAATAAGAAAACACAAAATGCCACTACAATGCCTATATCTTCGCCAATTTTTTTTTGAAATTTTTTCAAAATTTTGACGGCCAACCCCTTAGAAATCCTGAAAATCCCCATACGCCACCATGCGATGGCTATATCTCAGCCAATTTTCATCCGATTCTTAAACGGAATGTCTCAAACGATTTCTTGTTTAATTTCTCATTAATCTGCATCCCAATCTAGACAGAAAATATTTTTTGAAATTTTTTCAAAATTTTGAGGGCCAACCCCTTAGAAATCCTGAAAATCCCCATACGCCACCTTGCGATGGGTATATCTCAGCCAATTTTCATCCGATTCTTAAACGGCATGTCTCAAACGATTTCTGGTTTAATTTCTCGTCAATCTGCTTCCCAATCTAGACAGAAAATATTTTTTGAAATTTTTTCAAAATTTTGAGGGCCAACCCCTTAGAAATCCTGAAAATCCCCATACCCCACCTTGCGATGGGTATATCTCAGCCAATTTTTATCCGATTCTTAAACGGAATGTCTCAAACGATTTCTTGTTTAATTTCTCATTAATCTGCATCCCAATCTGGACAGAAAATAATTTTTGAATTTTTTTCAAAATTTTGTGGGCCAACCCCTTAGAAATTCTGAAAATCCCCATACGCCACCTTGCGATGGCTATATCTCAGCCAATTTTCATCCGATTCTTAAACGGAATGTCTCAAACGATTTCTGGTTTAATTTCTCGTCAATCTGCATCCCAATCTAGACAGAAAATATTTTTGAAATTTTTTCAAAATTTTGAGGGCCAACCCCTTAGAAATCCTGAAAATCCCCATACGTCACCTTGCGATGGGTATATCTCAGCCAATTTTCATCCAATTCTTAAACGGAATGTCTCAAACGATTTCTTGTTTAATTTCTCATTAATCTGCATCCCAATCTGGACAGAAAATAATTTTTGAATTTTTTTCAAAATTTTGTGGGCCAACCCTTAGAAATTCTGAAAATCCCCATACGCCACCTTGCGATGGCTATATCTCAGCCAATTTTCATCCGATTCTTAAACGGAATGTCTCAAACGATTTCTGGTTTAATTTCTCGTCAATCTGCATCCCAATCTAGACAGAAAATATTTTTTGAAATTTTTTCAAAATTTTGAGGGCCAACCCCTTAGAAATCCTGAAAATCCCCATACGTCACCTTGCGATGGGTATATCTCAGCCAATTTTCATCCAATTCTTAAACGGAATGTCTCAAACGATTTCTGGTTTAATTTCTCATTAATCTGCATCCCAATCTAGACAGAAAATATTTTTTGAAATTTTTTCAAAATTTTGTGGACCAACCCCTTAGAAATCCTGAAAACCCCCTGTCGCCCCTTGCGATGGCCACATCTCTGCCAATTTTCATCCGATTCTTCAACGGGTTTCTTTAAATGAATTATAGATCGAATATCGCGCGATTTGATTTCAAATCTTTTAGCCACATCGTGAAACGAATTTTCATAAAATTTTTGTATGGAACGCCTTTTAGAACATGAAAGTCTCTTTCAAAGTCTATCAGACACCAAATACTTAATATTATTTTATGAAAAAAGTCCTAATCGAATATTTACATGCTCTGGGGGACAAACTGTGGCTGTGTTATTACAGTTTGAGTAATTTAATTCGTTGTTGGCTGGGGGGTCATTGAATTCCTTTTGAGCTGGAGCGTATTTGCATTGAAATGTTGTGGCAGCAAACAAAGAAGCATTTAACTTTTCAACCTAGCAACTTGTGTTGTGTAATGAGCCCTCGATGTCCTGCAACTGATTCCTGTAGGACTTCAAATAGAACGGCAGGCAATAGCCGGCAAACGGAAATAACAGCAAATAAGAACAATACCAATTTGGCCATAATACGGTAACCGGTATTTTGCACCCATTAAATCTGTCAGGCAAAATCTCTGACGGTCATGTTGGCCAGAAACAGGGCCAGAAGTAGGGCCAGGACCAGGACCAGGACCAGGACCAGAAAATACACACAATAAAGTGGGTGCTGGGGTGGGAGGTTGATTTGGGGTTATTGCCGCGCGGATTACCATTCGGTTTTCACCTACCTACCTACCATCCATGAAGAGACCTGGGATTGTTATTAAGCGACTATAAAATATACTACCTACTACAATTTCTGTCCATCCTGGGATGGAGAAGTGCTGCTCAATCGGCCGCTACTGGTAGCTGGTAACTGGTAACTGGATTTTCACCAATGCCATTGCCAATGCTATTTCTATTACCCACCAACCCCCACTAACTATTTCTATTCTCATTTCTATTTCCATTCCCCATATCCTCATACACATTCCAGTAGAATACATTACAAAGCCAGCATCAGTGAGCATCCCGGTCGAGTGAGTCTCTGACCATTTTATTCCGGAACAAGTGGATGTGGCGACATAATGTCTCCTCCTAGCGATGGGTTCAATTCAAAAAAGAGCAACTATGATGGTTATACAATAGGTTTTAGAGAGAAATTATAGTATTTTCTTAAAAGTAAATAAACTTTTTTAAATGCATGAGTTTTGAGTTAAGAGTCCTCTACAGGATACTCTATTAAGTCGCATCCCTAGTGTCCTTTTTTTTTGGTTCGGAAAGCGCTGACAATTCAGAGACATTACATTCTTTTCTATGTACATGTTATGCAATAAATAGTCCCCCTTTATAATAATCTAATGGCAATTGTGGGCGACAGTTCTCGTTGTCGCTTTGTCCACCACTATTTCCCACTCTTTCTCTGGGGCTCCAGCCATCTCTTTCGTTTCGTTTATCTTCATCTCTTTCGATACTACACTACATACTACTCGAACGTAAATGGCACGGAAATGTGTAGAGTAGCGAGGGTCGAGTGGAGGAGTTGGTTGGTGGAAGTGATGATGCTCACTTTCCCAGGAGACACTGGACAATACTGGCTGGGACAGGGGAAAGGACCATGCCACCCATCCTTAGACACTTTTTGACATCAAAGACGAGAGCATCGCACTGCGACTCTACTCTACTAAAAATGGCAACGAAATTATGCAATTAGTGGCGTAATATGAAGCACTTTGCGGGCGTTGTGGGCGTTCTCGTTAATAAAGGTTCCCTCATCATTTCCACTCTTAGGGTCCCACACCCATTTCCATTCCCAATTTTGCTCGACTTTCCCTCTTTCGACTTTCCCTTGGCGGCAAAAAGTTTTCCTTTTTCCACGAAATAAACTTGGCCCACGATAACGATAATGAAGTCAAGGGGCAGTCTCGGTACCCCAATAGCGACTCTCGGCCAATTCGAAAGATACTCGGCCACAGATTCATAGATAATCTGCGAATGGCGAAGGCTTTATTGGCCGTAATGTCAACTTAAGTTTGTAAACGACTTTTAAATTTCATTGCTCATTTATTTAAACAAAGACATTAAAAAATTAAGTGCGCTGCGAGTGCCTCATAAAACCTTAACAGGTTACTGAAAGTGAAACAATAAATGGTGGTAAATAATAGGTTAATTTTTAACTTTATCTAGAGATTTATTTTTAGAGATTTGTATTAAAAAAAATATATAATACAATTTATGCCTAAGGATCTATTTATCTATTTATGTATATATCATTTAGAGCTTTTAAATTATTTATTTATTTAATTTTCCTATTTTAATGGTTCTCATTAGCCCCTTTTTTAATATTAAACTTAAAATGCGAATATTTGATTTCATTTTGCATTAACCTTTAACCCTTAGCTGGATAAAAAAATAGCCCCCTCAAAGACAAAAAACATCAGCCATGCAACCAGCCAAGAAAATTCTGCCAACAGGGGCAAGGATATAGTGGCAATTTACGGTTCCTGCTCCTGCATTTCTTTCTCGTCTGCCCTATGTAGCTTGCTCTAGCTGGTTCCTCTATTTTTATTTTATTTTTGTTGTTTTCCATATAACCCTTGACGTTTTTTTTTTTTTTGAGTGTGCTTCAGGTAGCATGTAACCTTGGCGTCGCCTTGCTCCTTTTATTTTTGCTAATGCTGCTGCCGCAGTTGCTGCCTGCTTAACGGTTTGCTTTGCATGAAGCCAGCTTTTTTGACGGCGGTTAGTGGGTGGTTAGAGGGGGCTTTGGGGAGGGGCGGGATAGTTGGTGGCCCAGGAGCCGCATCCACAGAGTCCCAGCGGTTGTCTGGGCGGTGCTTGTGGGCGCCCCACCTCAGCCGTGCATGTATGAGTGCGGCGGGCAAATACTTGTCTTGTGAGTCGCAAGCCAGATAAATGCACTGAAAAAAATATTATTTATAAAGTGAGGGTTGTCAGTTTTTTGTTAATATTTTTTAGAGATTTTTTTCAGGATTTTTAATCATCAAATTTGAACAAAATCAAGGTGACTAAAGGAGGAAAGAGTTAGAGAGAAGGAATAGAGTTTTGAGCCTTTACCATCTAGTTTTTAATAGAAAATTTAATATAAATGTACATACTTTATTAAATTATTATGTATTTTTAATTTCTAATAAATCTTTAGGCAATTTGTTGTATTCTAACATATTTTAGTAACTTTAATTTAAAGTATAAATTTTAGTTTTTTATTTCCTTCCTGTTAAGATTAATCATTTCTTTTATTTCCCCTAAAAATTCGAGGAAGATATGATCTAATTTAGGGTTAAACCTTATATATGTAGGTTTATGCTTTCTTTAATTTTTTTATACCACCCCTAAAAAATTTCTCAGAGTGTACAATTAATTCGCTGTT